CTCGTTGTAATGCAATTCAAGGTGAAATTGAATTGAACTATATTGAATCTAGGCTGTTGTTTGCAAGTATTTTGTGTATCATCCCTTCCATGCAAGTGTTTTGTGTGAACAATCGTGAGTTACTCGTTGCACAGACCAAGCCTGAACTTTAATGCAGCAATGTAAATGATATTTTCGTTTAAATTCATGATGAACAACACTTGATGGAACTTCGCCGGGCTTTGGAACAGGATTCAGTCTTAAAGTTTACCCACGAAATTGGACAAAATCATAAAATTCCATTCATAGATATATTAGTGTGAGTTGACGATAATTCCTTTGTCACAAATGTTTACTGAAAACCTATCGATATCGGAAAACATAACGAAGAGAGTGAATGCCCTCAGCGCTCTAAAACCAGCACTGCGCGCTCTCATACAAAAGGCATTCAAGACTTGCACATCAGAGAGTGATTTGAAAACGGAACTAAGAACTAGTAAACAAATCTTAGTGAATAATGGATTTTCATATAGAACAGTCGACACTGAAATATCAAATTATCGATCCAGAAATAACCTAACCAACAGTACAGCAATATCAAATGGAAACGTCAAAACAATCTCCTACCAAAACCAGATGAACAGAAGCTACAAAGTAGATGAATGAGTCATACAGTCAATCATCCATAATAATCTCAGGAGCACAGTGGATAACGGAAAAATAAAACTTCTGATCTACTAAAAAAAGAAAATTAAAAACCTTGTCATGAATAATAATTCATTTAAAAATTTTTAACTGCTTCAAAAATCTAATGTGGTTTATAAATTCATAGCAGTTAAAAATTTTTAAATGAATTATTATTCATGACAAGGTTTTTAATTTTCTTTTTTTAGTAGATCAGAAGTTTTATTTTTCCGTTATCCACTGTGCTCCTGAGATTATTATGGATGATTGACTGTATGACTCATTCATCTACTTTGTAGCTTCTGTTCATCTGGTTTTGGTAGGAGATTGTTTTGACGTTTCCATTTGATATTGCTGCTCTGTTGGTTAGGTTATTTCTGGATCGATAATTTGATATTTCAGTGTCGACTGTTCTATATGAAAATCCATTATTCACTAGGATTTGTTTACTAGTTCTTAGTTCCGTTTTCGAATCACTTTCTGATGTGCAGGTCTTGAATGCCTTTTGTATGAGAGCGCGCAGTGCTGGTTTTAGAGCGCTGAGGGCATTCACTCTCTTCGTTTTGCACTTTTCCGATATCGATAGGATTTCAGTAAACATTTGTGACAAATGAATTATCGTCAACTCACACTAATATATCTATGAATGGAATTTTATGATTTTGTCCAATTTCGTGGGTAAACTTTAAGACTGAATCCTGTTCCAAAGCCCGGCGAAGTTCCATCAAGTGTTGTTCATCATGAATTTAAACGAAAATATCATTTACATTGCTGCATTAAAGTTCAGGCTTGGTCTGTGCAACGAGTAACTCACGATTGTTCACACAAAACACTTGCATGGAAGGGATGATACACAAAATACTTGCAAACAACAGCCTAGATTCAATATAGTTCAATTCAATTTCACCTTGAATTGCATTACAACGAGCAATTCGTTATATTTTAAGTATTTCATACCTAAAAACACCGGTGTGAAATAATTAGCTACTATATTGAATCTAGACTGTTGTTTGCAAGTATTTTGGAAGAAATTTGAGGACTGATTTAAGTGATTATAGCGGCAGAATTCTTAACAGTATATGTGAATGTTTTAATCTGGCGAATATGAGAAAAATTTTAACACTGGTTAAAGTCAGAGAATGTTTCGCACTGCCGTACGTGGGAAATGTTTGGTACTCGAAATAAGTAAAAGTGTTTGGTACGGGTGAATGGGGTAGAATGATTCTGACATGGATAATTGGGGAGAATGTTGAGCGGTGTTAAATATTGGAGATTGTTGATTGTGGAGTGCTAGTGAAAGTTAGAGAATGTTTGGTTGCGGGTAACGCGAAAATGTTGGGATTAAAAGTTATAATAACTGATATTATTTCCAGTTTAAATTCGTGTTTCAAGGCCATTTGCTTCATTGTGACGCGATGATCCATTTTTTATATTTATTCGTCTAGTGTGCATATATACGTATATATAGCGCACAACAATTAAAATGCCCCCTTCCTTCCCCCCAAATTAGGTGAGAAGGGAGGGGGCATTTTTTAACGCAATTTTCAGATTGAGCCGTGTCCATGCCGAAGCTATCAGGTGCCAATTAAATACGCGCGCCCCACGAAGGACAAAGCTCACTCGGTCTATTACCGGTTTCTAATCAATTACCGGATTCTAATCAATTACCGGATTCTAATCAATTACCGGATTTTCCGGATTCTAATCAATTACCGGATTCTAATCAATTACCGGATTATAATAAATTGAAATTAATTATCTGTATCGCTCCTGATCACCATCGAAGCACAGCTCCATGCCAGACGAAGCTGAATTATAACTCACAATAATAATGGCGTTTGTGCGTACGAAGAAATCTCGTTGTACGGAATTTTCTTGTAAATTCAAACAATTTGCTTATTCGAAATATTTCTTCGTTTAATTACCTATATATTGACGTCGATTGTATTATGTGCATCGACCACATTACTGACTAGTCATTCTCGTGTCAGTCATTGTCTTTTTTGAGTTCCTTGGTCATCCGGTTTGAGTTCCTTGGTTCCTGTAAAGAAATCACTCATCGTTCCTATAAATCCTATATTGCCTGCAAATTCATTATTATGAGCATAATGCTCAAATATCCTTAATAACAATTAATGATCTCATTTCCTGCAGCTGCAACATGATTTTTGAGCGAGAACATGTCAGCCTTGCAAGCTGCTGGTGCGTTTGTCCATTCAATCGTCTTTCAGAATAATTTTTTCGCTATAAAAAGGGAGCCGTCAGCCGGGTAAACAGAATTTAATAACTGCGACCTTCTACGGGCGTGTCTCGTTCATATCACTGGACATTATGTCACATGGATGCATGCTGTAAAATTAAGTTCTTCCGCAATTCGATGATAACGAATATTGTTAATAACAAGAATATCCCGCGAGCTGTTGGTACAAATGGGAGTTTAGATAATCGGTAGGGCATTTGCAATAGGCCATATGTGGTAGTTACCCTGAGACCCTGGCCACATAAAGAGAACGACAGCGGTCTCACAATTTTACTTTATTAGCAAAAGCCATTGTTTTTTCCAGATTTGTACGTTGATTTCACACTGTGTATCATTTCCCTAATTATTATTACTTGTCAATCTCATATGGCTGAGGTGGCCAAGTAACCTTAGCTACCGGTCTTTGGGGCGCAGCAGCCGTACGGTGAGGCGAGGAGAGGCGCCCGAGGGGCAGTCGTGCCTTGCCAGCCGCGAGGTGAGGGCACTGGCCTCTGCTGCCTTAATTAACCCGTAGTTTATTTTGCCAGGCCTTGGATTTCGACTCAGTGAATTATAAAAGACTTGGGTTACCATGCACCCATCATTTGTTGATTATATAAATTTTATTCTAATTTGCGAATTTGTAACGGACCGCCGTACTTTTCTAGGTATTATTATTTGGGTATTTTTCGTAGATTCAAATTCGACTTTATCGAAACTAGTATATACGCTCTGCCTCTGGTGAGAAACAGTAGCGACCAAGTAAGTTAAGAGAATGATTTCAGCCTTGAGAAAAATGACCGTAATGAAAACATGGGTAGGGCGATGTAGATATTCATCGCGAATTGTTCGGGGAAACATTTTCGCCTTCTTATTAAAAATCATAAACTCCTTGTTTTACCCAACAATTACTGATTATGACCTGCCCTGAAGAATACTAAAAATAAAATAGCTTAGCATGTCTATAATAATAAAATTTGGCCCTAGAAAAAATCTTCCTCCACGATTGCAGAATTCATAACATACAACAGAAATACTGAGCGAAAAATAACGCTTTATTGTAATATTCCTCGTTATAAATTCTGAACTTACATATATAGAATGCCCATTATCAACATCGCTATCGTAACCTGGAGCATCAGTCGCCCAGTACCAAGCTTTTAATTTGTATGACATTGGGGAAGGGTGGCCCATGCATCGTGTGATTCGCGACTTACTGTACGAATTCCAGCACCATAATTTGAGCAGGAATTCCTGTAAGAATTCCTGCTCAACCCTAATTTTTAACGACAAGTTCAAACCTTTGAAAATAGTAGTTTTCGCGCTGCATCATCAATGAATGTGTAGCGAACCTAGAAATTACGACTTTTAATAAATATATCTTTTTTCCTCTGACTTGGCAACACCGTTAGGAAGTTTACATCGCGTTCTATTTGTCCCTTAGTCAGTTAGCCCAGCCGATCCACAACCGCAGGTTCCCACGTTGCCAAGGGTATTATTTCTATTATAACTATTATTACTGTTGTCATTTCTGTATTCCTTGCCGTATCAAATAAATTAACTTGATCCAGTTCGATTCATTTCCGATCTTGTAATTTCCTCACTGTGCGGGTAACGTACGGCAGTTACCCCACAAATTAAAACACTTACCCTCATATATATATTAATATTCCAGAATTATTGGCGAACTGAAAAAGTTGCCAAAATTTTGCTTGAATCCATACAAGATCCTAATACATGATCTTGTACTCATTTTTACATCACGGTTTACTATCACAAAAAACATGAATCAAACCCTGGTGGAAAACATTGGATCTAATGAACTTTTTATATACTTCCTAATTCGTTATTGAATTTGATTGCCACTACAAACTAACTTTTGGGTTCGATTTACATCAGGTATTGAGTTGATTTTTTATGACGAATAAATTAAACAATATAATTTAAAATTCAATACATCCGGTCAAATCTAGGTATAATATTTATACTGCATGGAATAAAAAAAGGCCGAGATGCTAATAACTCTTTTTATCTAACAGCAGATTATTCGAGTATTACCCAAAATTAGTAAATAAAGATACATTAACTTCAGTCGATCATGCTGAAGGTGTCCGTGAGAGTTATAGTAGCGGTGCTTGCCCTTGTCATTTCACTTCTTGACTTCTGCGCATCAACTGAAAAAATCCCACGAAAATGGGCAACTTTCTCGGCAAATATCACAGGTTTGAGCCGCTATAACGTCTCTAATGTTGATGTTAAAGAGGAGATTCTGTGTAGTATTTTGGCAACTAAAGACGGACTGGCGACGAACCTCTTCTGCTTCGGACCAAAAGGCTGTGTTTTCGGACAAGTTTACCTACCGGACGTTGAAGGAGAGCAAACCCCAGATTACAGCTGCTACTATTCCCAAGGTATGCATCAGAAAATTGTTATGTTTTCAAGTGAAATTTGGATTATGTCATACTACACTATACTAAATATATTTGCATAACTCTACTAGGGTTTGCTGTCAAGACCTTATAGTTCGCAACTGAGTTTATATTACGGCCACATCAGAAGCGGCACGTTTTCACCCAATCTTTCTGTCTCATTTCAGCTACATGACCAATTCGGTCCTCTTGGTTGTGTCCAAACTTTGCAACTTGTTCTCAAGAAAGTAGGCTCTAGAGCAAAACTGCATCCATCATACCTATTGAAATTACATATCTTCCTGGACCAACCGAAATTAGTCGTCCTGACATTTTTACTTCTAAGTGCGAGTTAGAAATTACCGCACGTGGCATATGTAATTGAATTTATCTTCATCTCTGTAAATCGATATAAATAGCCACTAACGCAAAAAACGTTCAAACTATTCCCATTGCCTACGTCTCGATGATTTTCGGACATATATATTTTACGAAGAAAACTAATAACTGCTTTGTACGGATATAATGCTGTCAGTTCCTAACATCATGAAAGCATAAGGAATTTAGTGCATGTATTCTTTTAAAATGCATAGTCGGGTATACAGTTTGGTGTCTCACATTAACATTGGTTGATACAATTTATTCATGTCGGAGCGTAATGGATGGAGAACGAATCTTCAGCTAACAGGAATGTTTCTTGCAATCCCGCAGTTTGCCTTCACGACAACAAAACTCTCCACGAAGGAGAAGTGGTTCCTAGCCCTATCTGCCTGACGTGCACCAAGCGTGGCATGGTCAACCTAACTAATGGTAGGTTCCAAAGAGAATCGATTGTGGCAACGTACTTTCGAAGCCTTTTACTATAAGTTGATATCTCACAAATGTTTTTAGGCGTAGGCATAAATTCTCCCTCTTCTCCACTTAACCTAAACCCAAATACATACACCTAACCAACGTAATTAGGTGCAATGTACCTCTTCATCTTCTACTATCCCCTTTCATTCATCTTTTTCTTACATGGCAACTTTATTCCAACTCTTTTTTTCCTCACTTCCTTAGTGGCACCGCACACACGCACACACACAAACACTTGCACACAAACACTCTCGCGGTCAAGAAAAATATGCATTAATCTTTTGGTCATTATTTTAACAACACTGCACACGGTCTTATATTTTTGTGGATAAAAATATTTAGCACAAAATTTCTGAAATAAGGAGGAATGATAATAAAATAAAAGTTGCAATACCATCTCTCGAACTGAAAACAAAATCAAACAGACAGGAATGCTTGAAATGAAATGTGTTCCATGTGCATTCTTACCACTTGCGAGAGGGAGCTTTGTAATCGATCGGTTTTCAACGGAAGAAAGAGAGCTAAACTATATCCCTTAATTCATCAGTAAGTTCAGTTATTTTGTGCGTGCACTTGTGTGGGTCACCTAGACCCAGTTAGGCCCGGTAAAATTTTGTATCAGTGCTATATTCGCTCACTTTTCGTATTATGTCGATTAGCTAGTCAACACCCCATCAAAATTTTGATTCCTGTCAGCTGCTGGCACAAGGACGCCCCAAGCTTGTCTAGCGCTTAAATAAATAGCGGCTCTATGTCCGCTATAGGTTACGGTTGTACGAGGGAAATAAGTGGCTGATTAGGATCCGGTCTATTCCTTGACAACCGTGAGGCGAGTGCGCAGGGCGCGCGTCTTTGGTTCCCTTTTACGTTCGGGACAGACAAGGGCGAATCTGAAAAGTGCGTTAAAAATGTCTCCTCCCTTCCCCCTTTATGGGGGGAAGGGAGGGGTTTTTTGAATCGCTATACGCTATACATAAATCAGCAGACAAGACATGTATCACCGCGGCACATTGAAGCAAGTAACATGTAAACACGAGTTTAAAACGGGAATGATATCAGTTAATACTACTTCCAACCTCAACTTTCCACATCACCCACAACATTCTTTTATATTTACCAGAGTCCAAGATCCTCTCACATTGCCCGAGCAAAACAATATTCACTATTCACCAGCAATCAGCATTCTCACACATTACCAAAAACCAAACATTTTTCATCCATGTACTAAATATTTTACTCATTTACACGTATCAAACACTACTACCTATTGCGGTAGTAGCGGAACCAAACATTTTCCACGCACGGCTAAGCAAAATATTATCACACCTTAACCAGTATTGAACCTACTCTCATGTTCGCCTGCACCAAATATTCACATATAATGGTAAGCATTCCCCCGCAGTAATCAGCTGTATCAGTCCTCAAAATTCTCCCAAAATATTTGCAAACAACAGACTATACCCAGCAGGCCTTCGGCGGTTTAATCAACGTTGAATCAACTACCTATTACGACGTTGAGATCGGGGTGAAAGGAGGTTTATAATGCAAATTGAAGCAACATCTTTCATGAAACGTCGTACTGACGTTACAATGCAACGTTGAAGCAATGTTACTACTAAGACTGTTACTACTACGATTACTGCAACGTCAAATTATCTAGTTGAATCAACGTTGAAGAACAAATCTGTTTTTCGTCCGTAGCAGGATTCGAACCTGGGATCGCTGGAGACCGCGCGACGCCTTAGCAACCTTGACCACTGCAGCTCGCGCGCATGAGCAATAGAGATAAACTAAAGAATTGTTCGACTCATTGAAAATTGAAAAGCATTCTCTGGTCATTAATCGTTCACTTATATATATATTTATTTCTATCAATGTTGGTGTGATAACATTAGTTCCATGCTGGTAAATAGCTAAACATTCAACGTACCGCTATCGATCATATTTCAACGTTGAAATAAGATTGTTTTACGCCCGTTCCAGCTTTGGTTGGACTTCGACGTTGACCGGACGTTTAACAATAAATAAACATTCAACGTACCAATATCAACGTTGTTTCAACGTTGAAATGAGGTTATTTTACGCCCGTTCTAGCTTTGGTTAGATTTCGACGTTGACCGGACGTTTAACAATAAATTCGTACCAATATCGAAGTTGTTTCAATGTTGAAATAAGGTTGTTTTACGTCCGTTCTAGTTTTGGTCAGATTTCGACGTTGATCGGACGTTTAAAAATAAATAAGTATTCAACGTACCAATATCGACGTTGATTCAACGTTGAAATAAGGTTGTTTTACGACCCTTCTAGTGTTGGTCAGATTTCGACGTTGATATGACGTTTAATTTTGGTTGTTCAACATTTCAACCCGAAATCAACCAATAATCAACGTTGTTTCAGCGTCAGATGCCTGCTGGGTAGTATCTTTAGTGTTTAATTCAAACCATTCCTATGTAGCACAAATTCAATATAATAGCAAATTTCTGTTTCCAGGAATGAAGACCTAAAACACAGTTAAATTATTCATGGTAATGCCATTCTTCCCAATCCTTTGTTCCTAAAATTCTCGAAATATACATTCGCAAAACATCCTCTCACATTAACCAGAGTGGCCCAGTGGTTACAGTTCAGAGTACCGAGATTGGAGCAGAAAAGTGCGGGTTCGACCCCAGCTCTGTGCGTCAATTTATGGTCAGAATCAGCAAGGAGGCCGGGCGGTTAAACAAAGCAAATTGAGGCAGTGAGTTGCGCGTTCGAAACCGTACAATATGTGAATACTTTGCGATGTAAGAATCGACGACAGGCCTATGGCCTAATAAACACTGAAACCGCTTTTATTATTATTATTATTAATATTATTATTATTTTATTTTTATTACAATTATTATTATTGTTATAATATTATTATTATTATTATTATTATTATCAAACATTCTCTCATTAGTCTGACATTCATCAACACCAATCATTCTCCATTCAGCAAGTTCAAAAATTCTTTCAATTCACCAGACAGTAAGACCATTCTCCCACTTACAAAAAGAACCAAACATTTCATCACTTTACAATCAATTTCGCTATACAATCCAATTCATTTCATCACTTATTTATCCAATCCATAACAATAAATCGATTTCACATCGAATAGAGTTCACAATAACGGAACCGTGCAACTTATTAACTTACAAATGTGCTTGTAACCCTGTTGGAACGTGTGTCTTCAGCAGTAAGCTGTCCGCCGACCAGTTGGTAAGGTTGCCAGGCGCCGCTACTTAACTTGAGCACGCAACGTTAATCAACTTGACGAATTTAGGCTTTCGGTTCAACAGTCCACAAAACGACCCTGATGTCTTGGTTGGCGAATCAGAAATTATAACCTCCAGTATAAGAACGCGAGCAGCTGAAATAACACGCTCGTGTCAACATATACCTCAAGTAAAAAAGTTAAGCAAAAAAATCCAACAAAAATTTTGAAGCTCGACGGTGTGTCTTGAATGTCGTCATTCCCGGTATTCTAACCGCAAAAAAACTTTACATTAGGAGACACTGGACATTAAAAACTTAGGAAGTTATGTTTCTAAAGATTTCTAAATTAACATGTTCAGCCTTTAGCAACTTAATTGCTTTCTATTCGCTTGCATCGCATTTCACATTAGGGATATACGTTAGAAACGAGAAGCATGTCTAATTATTATCCGCACGAGACAAAATGCACTAAACTACTGACAGTCTGACACCAAAGCGTCGAGGGTAGTGGGGGTAGTGGTAACCCCACCTTTGAACAGGGAGTATTATGGGGTTTGTTTATCAGTCTTGCCTCGAAAGCTTGGGTTTTGAAGCCATGTGTGTACATGTAATTTGCCGTGTTGCCGCAACAACAATGCACGCTTGTTGCTAGAACGCGACGCACATATGTAGACATAGAAGTAACATAAGCGTGTTTAAGATAACGCAATGCACGTGTTGAATCGTGCATTGAAGATAACGCTGATCACGCATGCGCTGCTGAAAACGGGTGTTGGCTAGCACTAGTAGAAACCCTGGTGACACAAAAGTAACGCAAGCGTGCTTTTTCTATGCGCACGCAAAGCACGCGCGTTGACAGACACGCATTGCACGCGTGTTGAATCTCACGCAACTCTCGCTTGAGCAACACGCACTCGATGCAAGCGTGTTGTAGATAACGCAACGCAAGTGTGTTGAAGATAACGTAACGCAAGCATATTGACGTACACGCAATGCAGAAGTGTTGAAACGCTCGCGTGTTGAGAAGTTCGTACCCATGCACATCTTGCACAATGCACATGCAGCGTCACGACTAAAGGCAGGGGCTTGTCACGCTCGCGCTAAGAACTCCTGCCAGCTACTGAGCAGGGCAAGCCAATGGTGGCCTGACCAGCCGCTGATTTCGTGTGTCATTTGACCCTTATACTTTTTACCATGGAACTACCCAAAATAGCTCTTATTGGCGGCTGAATAGGGAAGGCGGCCACTTCACACGTGATTCATCTGCAAAGGGAGAGTGGCAAACAAAAGGCGACCAACAGCTGCTTATGAATTTTGACAGGGTATTTATTCAGGTTGATTAAATTGTTTTCTGAGTGATTAACTGAACTCTGATTTTAATCTCCTCCGTTCATATCTGTTGAATAATTCATATTTTATTCCAAGATGTGCCACCGCTGACAAGCTGCACTCCGCCCTTCGTGCAACACCCGTTCGGCTGCATGTACTTCAACCTGAAAACGATGACGCTCTGCGAAGCGAGGGCTTACTGCCAGTCCCTTGGGGCACAACTGGCGTCGCCAACCACACATGACAACTTCCTCGCCCTGGTGGCCTACCTTCTGGCGACTTACGGTATGAAATTAACACTTCAGAGGCCGTAAATTTTAATTCCATCAGCCAATCACTGACGGAATTTTTCAATTAAATACAATTTTCACAGACGAGAAATTGGCGGCTACCTATAATTAGGCGGGTACGTGTATTGTACTGTCCGATTTATCAGACTACGCGCCCAGCTTAATAAATGTTGGCTTTAAAGCTCCATTATAACCAGAGAAGATGTATAATTATTGTTTCATGCATGGGGGTGGGTTTAATAATATTTATGGCATACATACAAAATGTAAAAATTTTCAAATAATCGAATGCCCTCAAAAAAATGGCACAAAGTTTGTATCAAGGGCAGAAACGAGAGGACATTTTTTAGCTTGTAATGAACTATGAAGGATCTCTTGGAAGTCAAAATTAAATTTAAATGCGAAAGTAATCCCAATTTTATGTTCAACTGATTCCTATGATTTATTTAACATAGATAATAAATTAGTTAATATTTTGTAATGGTGAGTTGTTCCAAGTAATTTATAAAACTTGTACGTTTTTGAACTCAAACTATAGAACATTTTTCCTATTTATCTCCGGTTGCGTTGAATCAAAGTGCAGCCTTTGTGTTTGTCTAAATTGTGACCGGGTAATTGCATTTATTTTGAGATGGAGCCTTTTATATTCATAAAATTACAATAATAATTATACTTATATTTCATAATTATAAACACGATTAAGTGAAAATATTTCAAATTTTAACATTTCAAAAATTCTCAAACTAATTTTTAATAAATTTATCGATGCACCGAAAGACGATAAAAATCTGTTTTGAAATTTAAATTCTGGACATCGAATTCTGTAAATATTGACAACCCAGGCATCAATGGACAAAAGTTCATACAATGGGCAAAATGCGTGTATTTAGCTTAGAAGTTTAGTTACCAAATAGAGGGCTATTCATTTATCTAGTTTCTAACGGGTCACAAGCCATGCTACGGAGGTTGTAGGAAACCTAAAAAATTTTTACACCATTATCTTTAACATCGGGACAATATATTTATTTCAATTATTTATTACATTTCATTCTTCAACATCAGGAACAACTTACCAAAAACCCTTCTGGGCCGGAGTTTACTACATCAACGGGAACCATAGCTATGAATCGAACGGTCGCTGGCCCGGACCTGACGGTCAGTACGAGTGGTTCGCGGACCAGCCCAACTACGGTGGCCAGGACTGCGTTAGGTTCAGCTTTCCGACAACCTACCGGTTGGCCGACGACTTCTGCACCTCGAAAAATGCGGTCATCTGCCATGCCTGGAACCTAGAGATCTAGGTCATCTGTCATGCCTGGAACCTAGAGATCTAGGTCATCTTTCGTGGCTGGAGATCTAGGGCACTTTTCATGCTTGGAACCTAGAAACACGCTACGAATCATCTGTTTGTCGTCATAAAAGACATCGGCTCGAACTGTATGTGCATTGCTTGATACATTCGTGATTAAAATCTCAACTAATTTTTCTGTATTGAGATAAGAAAGACCTGCGTTATTCACGCTGGTCTTCAATAGGACGGGTATCTCTCCAGATCCTTCGAACCTCCGCCCAGCTATCATGGACATGACGTGTTCGAATTTACGGTGAAAAAACGGTCTGACACGCGTTCTAGTGGCTGGACATCTCATAAAAACCGGTTTCGCCGTTTTATAAATGGGGTACGGGCTCCTCGTGTTGAATTGAAAATATAATAATAAATGAAACGACGGCTTGGTATTTTATTTCACGCGCCGGCCGGCCACACGAACGCCAGTCAAACCGTTTTACGGCTTTTTTTCAAAGAGTGTGGTTTCTGTTTCGTATATCTAACTTATACGCTAGATCATTACAATGTTTTTTCTCTGGACATATCAAATGAATTAGTATCACCTTTAGTTATGCTATTGAATGATTCATTTTGTAATCAACGTTCATGTCAACATATTGCTTACCTGCGTCGCTATAGTAACGATATTGTTCATCTTCATGACGATCCAGTCGAAATTATGTCCATTTCTACAAAGTTCTACCCAAATACTGATCATATTTGCGACGTTCAGTCATTATATTATTCACTTTCATTACGTCTTAGGCATAAAGCTGTTCATCTTTACGGCTTTCTACTCAAATATTATTCACCTTCACGACGTTTAATTATTGTTCATCTTTAAGACAGTCTAGGTAATATTTGTACAATGTACAATATAATGTATATGCTCATCCATCATTTTGGAACGTTAAATAAACTGTGAACTCATTATAATATAGTTGAAAATAAAAATGCACATGTCACGTATATTCGTCGCGAAGAATTTTGAATACACGATTTTCGTCGTTCACTCTCATTAAAATCGGTTTCTACTGAAACAAACTAAGTATAATGGTGATTTTTGGTATCATAAAATTAGTATTGCACATTAGTTCTAAACGAGAAGTAAGTCGTTAATTCACAACTCTAAAGAAGTCAATTAACATTAAGAGTTAAAACACGAACCAAATATTTCCTTCACTTCACTCGAGCGCACCAAACTAAAGTTAAGATCTAACATAATCGACGATGTTTACTCTGTGCATAACACGCGTGCCCCAGGCCAACTGGATATATTAGAAGTGTATTTGAGAAGAACTTCAGGAGCACCTGTGTATAGTATTTCAGAGCAAGTAAACCTTTTATTCCCATATTGTTTTAAATTAATTTAAATTAATTAAATCATTAAAATTATCTTATCAGGTAATTTTTCTATCTTATTCATTTAAATTAATTATTTCCTTAAAATTCTCTTCTTAGATCAATTATTTTGGTTGCAGCAATAATTGTCCTCGAAACATACTTATTTCATGATATACATGTAAGTTATAGCTGCAAGCTTCCATTTCAATTATTAGATGTGATAAATTATGCGTTAATTTCTTGATATGGTTAATATGGAATATTTTTAGTATTGATCGTCGTGATATTAATATTAATCATTCACATTTCAATATTTATCAGCGTGATCAATATCTTGAAGTTCACCTCGTCGCCACGACGATGATATATCAACACGTCAAGTGGCATTTCATCAGTCACGCACGCCTGAGTGGCTTGAATTTCTAAAGTAATTTTGGATAAGTCATATTGAGCTCCCGAAGGAGTTCAATGTAACTTATGCTGCTGAGGTATTATTAAAAGTATATTAAAACTCATTTATTAGCCTTAGATGACAGAACTTGCTAGTTGCTACACATGCGACTAACATGGCAAGAGAATTCATTGCTGTTAATGTTGAAACAGTCAAACAATTGTTCAGATGGCGTGCTGGATCAAAAGGCAGGTCCAGTGAAGTAGTTTTAATTTATTAACGACGTTTCCAATGCAGCAACATTATTTTCAAGTCATAAGAAGCTCTGAATATCAAACTATCGTCATTTGCTGTGGGCTACGCGACTAAAATGGCGTTCATGTTTCTGTGTAATTATTATAGACTGGCACCAATATTAATACTTTGCAATACGAATAGTAAAAATTCAAATGAGCTGAACTTTGGTAGGCTTGTAAAAACCGGTAATTTGTCGTACAAAATGCGTCTAAAACGAGACGTATTCTAAGTTTCTCATTTCCTGCTATTGATCAACCTCTGCAATATTTTCAGTCTAACTTCTTGATTTTCCATCCTGCTATTTAAGAATAAAAACAAACCTCATGCAAAAAAAAAAAACTTCAACAAACAAGCTTCATGCCACTTTGCTGTTAAAAAGTTCCAAATTACTTGAATTTTCCTTCTTATTCTTCTTAGTTTTCACTCAGCAGCCATCAGTAATTAGTTCAGTGGTCTTTGGAATTTTATGGTGAAGACGAACATATACTTCGTTATTCTCCAGTCGTGTTATTGGAAGCCATGTTTACCTAATCTCTATAACTTTTTTTTCAGTCATCACTCATACCTTTAGTTATGTTCATTTAAGTGCAAAAAACCTGTTCTCTCATGCTTTAATTGAGAAGCAGATTCTCAATTGCTTTTGGGCTTTGCCTTTTGTACGTTTTGGATCACCTTGGTCTCTGGCTTTAGACTGGCTTTAGACTTGCTTCGACTACTCAAATAAATGTTCCTTTCGTGAACAATAACAGAGTTCTTCTCTTTAAATAATTCTGGACAGTTAAATATGAATAATTATGTTATTTAAAATATTAATTCAAGCTTAATTTGTTCTTCGCATCGGAGTGTGCCACTCTTATACTTTAATCATTTTCATATATATGCCTTATTCTTGCATCTTGAAATGACAGTGGGTTGCAAAAGTTTATGGGCTTTGCTTATACAGGTTTTGACCACCTATAGCTTGGCCTACGGCTTATGACTTGCTTTGACTACTTGAATAAATGTTACTTCACGGATAAGAAGAGCAGAGTTCTTCTCGTTACCTTAATTAACAAAATTATTAATTTATTTTAACTCAATTTAACAAATTATTGTAGGCTTAATTTGTTATTAGAATCGGAGTTTGTCACTTTACTACTTTAATCGTTTTCTTAGATATGGCCTTCTACTTGACTCTTGAAATGACAATTGTAGCAAATGATTTTAAAGTGGGTCAATGGGATACAATTGAAAGTAGTACATTGAAAAACGAGGTTGCCTTCATCAAACTTATAACAAAATTTCTTTTAAACTTATTTTAAAGCTGTTATCTTTCATCTTTTTTAGACTAACTTTCTCTGGTGGGAACCGTTTGTAACTTTTTGACACGTGATCACGACTATTTAACTATCATATTCTACTACTTAACTTTTTGATGTGTTTTTATTGATCACATGTTTCTATTGTCCATTTATGAAATCTCTATTAGCCATGAAATTAATAATTTTAAATTGCAGGATGCCTCAAAGTTTGATTAATTATCCTACAGTTATTTCATGCCGTTATATACAACCGCTCTGATCCCAATTATTTCAGGCCGTTATATACAACCGTTCTGATACCATCCAATTATTTCATTCATTATATACAACTGTTCTGATACCAATTATTTCATTCATTATATACAACCGTTCTCATTCCAATTATTTCATTCATTATATACAACTGTTCTCATACCAAGACCGCGCTGAGCTCATCCAAAAATGTTCTCGGTCTGGTCGAGAGATCGAATCAGTTTTTCGAGCACTAAAGTTTGGATAATGATGGGTGAATTAGTTTCATGCCTTTACATTCAAGTCTAAATGTGCGTTGATAAATTAAAAGAAAATAAATATAAGATCTTTGATAGAATCTTCGATTACGATGAAGTTTTTCATCATCGTCCAAGAAATTTGTCGTGACGGGACAAAATATTGGATATCCAGACTGCGATTATTAACATATGCGGAAACACGGACCAGTGCTTGTTTCTGATTGCCTCGCCAAATTTGTATTGCACGTTGATTATTCTGTATAATTTTTTCTTAGCTTATTGAGATACATTCTTTCTAGATAGAAAGTCCATATTCTAGTGTACCGAGCAAACGGTGTTTTCTAAGATATTTATCGTTGGAAAGAGTTTTTACAGAACAGCTAGTCAAATGTCACTGTGAAAGTTTTGACACCGGTGTGACGAATTTTTTATTCATGAGCCTGAGCTCCCGTTTCTCTCTCAAGTCTACCTTTTCAGAGATGCCTTCCGCCACATTAATCCTATTTACCATGTATACCAAGGCAATGCTGTTAATTTAACATATATTCCTGTATATACTAGGAAGTGGTAGCATTAATTAAGAATAACCGTACCTATTTATGACACACCCCTTGCAACGCGAAAACCTTTCATTTTATGTATTAATTTCAGCGGCGAATTGCGTTCTTAGCAAGATAAATATAGGGCATTTTTTAATTTGATTGAAACTAGAAAGTATTTCTTTGAGAACTTTTCAATTTAAATTATTTCCTTATTTAGCTAATTTTCCCGTTCATTCATTCGAAGTAATATTTCGTATGCATGTATGAGTGAACGAAAAAATGAAATTGCTGTATGAAAGCCAGGTGATCTTTCATAATTACTTCCAGAAGGCAATGAAACCATCCTTATATGCTCCAAATAATGTGCTGTAAGGGGCTTTACGACTAAAGCATTTATTGCTTGAAATTTTGTTTAGCAAGATATATACCTATTATTTTTCGTAATACTATACACTTCATGGCAACGTACCTCCATTTTTATTAAATAATATTACCAAATTATATGAATAATTTGGTTCAATTAATAGAAAACGCAGCAGAATAACTCGCGTGATGTCTGGACTTACCGAGCGCCTTCAATGCCACCTCATCTATTCAATAAACTTCTTCAGTAGCGGCGATCACGCGGGAGATAATGCATGAAGGCTAACAAATATGGCTAGGTAAGTACAGGCTCCCGCATATATTGGATATAAAGTCAAGTTGGATTATAAGTTGGATATAAACTCAACTTTCTATCGTTATTCCATTGTTCAAGCTTACCTGAAAATGCGGTTATTTTATCAAATTAATATACAAGAGCTTTGTCCTAAAAATATTAATTCCACTTATTTCTTAAGTCGCGTATTCACTAGAAATTTGAGAGCAAAGAAAAGTCCACTACACTTATTTGTTCTGTTATTTATTTGTAGATTTGGGTTTTAATTTCGTTTTTTACGCTATACTGTACCAACTACTTGCATTCTAGAATTTTTGAGTTGACGATAGAGCTGGACGCTGAAATGTTTTTTAATGAGATACGGTGAAATTTTGAGTAGTTTTCTTTGTTTTTAAATTTCGAATTTGTCCTATTACTGCAAGAGGACGCAGTTATTGCTCCAACTAGTACGATAATAAACGAGAAACTCACAATTACCGAACTCTAAAAAGTGATTATTCCAGGACTTGTGTGAATTCCTGATTGAACCTCGAAAGGAAACGATGTCGGTTCTATGAATGGAAAGTTGATGGATTAATCAGATTTCATTTCTGAACGTCGTCTTACTCGAGTAAAAATGATTTCCGTAACCTTGAGGCAAATATGGGTCCATCTTTGCGGCGAATATGGGTCGGTCCAGTACAAAAATTATATCTTTTCATCGGATCCAGGCAATGTGATGCTGGTAGCTTGAAAGTTATATCGCTGCCTACATCCAGTTCATGAACATGGGAATCGTGTACAGGCAGATGTGCATCAAACTACAACTTACGCCTGTTTTATAATGTGCTTTACTGCTTAAAAATTGGCGTGAAGTATTTTAAAGTCAGTTTTTTGTCTATTGGTTTCTTAACTCTATTGCAATCTATGAAAAATCTACGGGACACGCTACGAATATTTCACTATACATTCATATAATCCCATATACACAGAGCCGCTCATATTACCTGCTATCCATGTTAATAATAAGCGGCAAGTTCCATGAATTCTATACTCTCGAAAAGTATTCGTTAGTTTTACCTAATCTCATGCGTAAAGTTAAATCAATCGAAATAATCGCCATTAAAATGACTACTATTTTCAAGGTTTTTACTCTGTTTAAAGGAGTTACGAACCAATTTAAAGCGGTTACAAAGCTAATGCAATGTGGCTACACTATTCGTGTGCCACATATTAGGAGACCGTAGGTTTCTATCGACGAGGTCTGACGACGATCCGATAAAGTAAAATTTTATAGTAGAAGTTCGAGAAAGTTTCTGGAGTACGGGCATAAGAACTAACTGACAAAATTGAGCATGTTTCTGTAAGAAACATTAGTTCAGAACAGTTCTCTGATGCGAAATGAAAAAAATAACACTTTGTAATATTGTAGAATGGGAAGAAGGGGTATTCTACGACGGTCACACCGAAACATCTAATGAATTTGGTAGTGTGAGAACGAGAAAGTATAAATTAAAAGAAAGTGTTGTTGGCATCGCGAATAAAATATCTTCAATATCCAAGGTCCAAACAAGCTGCTTCCAAGGGTCCTAGACATTTTGAACACAAATCAGCATCAAGAAAAGTTTATTGTTCACCTTAAGGCGGAGCCTGACGACGCGTTGCGTAGAGACAACACTCGTTGCTGGAGGAACATAGGCAAAGCATACTCATATCAAGTGGTTCCGTTTTCTTCCTTGCTATGAAATGGGAATGGTGCTTAAATGGTGTTTTCTGTTAACTAATTATTCATTAATTATATCGATAAATTAATTATTTTCCCAGAGAATCCATATTAAAATAGACGAGCACTAGGAACATTCGGCTTTGATAGCTGAAACTGCGATAATTTGGCTCATTCAAAGAAGCGATAAAAGGATCGCTTATCAGTTGCTGTTCTTATCGAAGATAAATATATATTTTTCATTCAGCTTTATTTACCGTTATATTAGAAGCAACAACCTAAAATTAATAGAATATTCATAGGAATGGCATCATACAAAGCATAATTTATAAAATATAAACATACTATGAGATATTAATACAGGATTAGGGAACTCATTCTTTTACAAAAGTTCAATTTCTCGCAAGAGGAAGAAAATAATTATTTACAAGTAGACTTGCAAATAATAACTAAATCTTAATAGACGCTGTGAAATTCGTGTCAAATATCAACGTGACTCATATTATCATTGATAGAACTGAGGAAATTTCAAGTCAAACCTCCAGAATGACTATTATAAAGTAATGTAATAATACACTAAACGAATACAAGTTTATGCTTCAAGTGAAATTGAGAGCGTTACAAAATCCCATTATAGCAAGATTTTAGTGAGAAATAATTCAGAAGTAGCAAAAAAACTTGATTGGAATAATATATAATGGAATACAATAGAGAGCAATATAAGTAAATACAGTCTATGTCGCCACGGTTTCACTGTCAAAGCAATCCAGCACATATACATCGGAGTGATCGGACAATTTAATTGTTCAATTCCGTATGAACAAATTATAAGATTATGTAACCGCGTGACTGATCAAGATATTGAATAATATGAACTTTTCGATTTGCAAAATGTGGGGTGTTACCTACCAGCTCGTAAACTTACTCATCAAGAAAATTACTCGCTCATTGTCTTCAATGATAACACTTGATTACAGCGAATTGTCTTCAATGATAACACTTGATTACAGCGAATTGTGAAGTCCATCAGGCTTCCTCGCACTCCTCATCAACACGTTGGATAATAATCTTCGTTTATAGAAGCACCCTAACATTCAATGCTCATTTCAAATCAATTCAGATACGCATCCATCCTTTTCAGCCCTTCGTCAATTAATGACAGACCCATTTATTAAATTTTAGACCAGCTTCATTTAACACGTTGACTCCGTATTGGTACATATGCGTACCACTAAATGTATTTCCCCAGGACGTAGTGGTACATAATTCGGGGTTGCCAGATGGCCTAAAAACGGGCAAGTCCGCGAACAAAAAGGGCCAAAAAAGGCCAAAAACTCAATATATACTAGTATATTCGTAGGTTCCGGTGTATAAGTTCCATTTATTTCTTTTTTTTTACTTTAATAAGGAAGTACCCATATCATAAATTTTGGCCGACTAACGCAATTGAAAAAATGTAATCGCGAAATTTGTCCGGGAAAAAACACTGTCTGACAACCTTGTTTCATAATAGTAAAAAATTAAATAATAATACAAGGTGAAGCAATCAGAGTCAACGATTTAATCTCAAACTCGCCTTCTTATATTTCAGATCAGACTCTTTCAATTTCAGACTCGCTTTATTCAATTTCAGCCTCGCTGCTCCTACTTTCATACCTGCTTCTTCTAACTTCAAACCAAATTTCATAAAATGTAAAATCCACTTTCTTTAATTTTAGACCAGCTTTCTTAAATTTCAGATCCACTTTTTTAAATTTCGGCCCCTCTTTTTCCAATTTCAAATGCACACTTTTTTATTTCAGATAAAAATCTCCTAATTAAAGACGTGCATCCCTGATATTCAGACTCTTATCCATTAACTATTACCCCTGCATTAAAATGTCTTTCATAGGCATATATATAATCTTTGCCAGCTACTCAAACTTAAATGAAAATATTTGAATGTGTAGCGATGATACTTCATTGAGATTTTCAAATCTTGAATAATTTTAAACGTTATGTATCCCGCTAGGATTTTATTCAGGACATTAGATTAATTTCCGTCGATTTCTCTACAGGAACTTGACGAATTGAGACAGAAAACTACTTAGGGATGGAACGAGAATTAGTGAGAGTTGAGCTGATTTTAAGGGCTAAGTTATTAACTGTTATCTCTTGATATCCCTTCTAACATGAACGTTGAAATTTTTATTATATAAAATTTTATTATCGTAGTGACCGTACTTATTAAATTATACAACTGCCATTGACTCCTTCAATATGAAAAAATTTCAAAAATACGTGCGCTTTAACCATATCGTAAATAACTTTATACTTTCTTGCAATTGTTCAAGATATTTGAATACCTGAATATTTCTGAGCTTGACTGAGCAAACGCTAAGAAAACAGCGAAGTAAATCAAAGCAAATCAAACATTTTGATCAAACATCAAAATCAAACATAACCGAGTTGCTAAAATTCACGGCAAAGATCTCTCTTCAGTAGAATTTTGACTGACGTGACAATTTACGGTAGTTTTTGTTTCCATTTCACTTCAATGTTTTTGTTTCCAATCAGATTCAATATCGACCAGGCAAAACGTTTTATTGCGTTTCGTGTGTTTTATTTTGCGATATATTATTGGTCATCAGACTTTTCAATTTAGTGCTATATACTCACCCTTCTATTAAAAGCAGCTTTCCTACAAATTTCAAAACATTTATAAGAATTACGCCGTAAAAAGAGTCATCACGATCATAATCTTATATTAAACAATTAAACGCTGCAGGTGCACGTGGTCTACAAAATCGGACGAAATATACAATAAAATTGCCGTTATTACATCACTATTCGTTCCCATTACAACTGCTCTTCTCTTATCAGATAAAACAAATGTTCGTTATTCATCAGTCGTTCGTCGAAAAGCAATCAGCGGCCGAGCTCTCGTCTTCAATGACGCCGCGCTGAAGAGCGTCCATTGTCTCTGGGAACAGAGCTGTGATAAGAGATGCAGATTACCTTATATTAGGAGTATAGAAATTTCGCCTGACTAAGCCATGATATAATTTATACACAGATTAAATGAGGAAATACCTTAACCGATATTGACGATTGCAGGGTTATAATCAATATTTTCGAAGTTTTTTTTATTTTAATCGTCACCGTATCACAGATTGAATAATTGGGAAAGGAGTTTATTTAATTGAAATGTCAGTCAATCACAAGATATATTTTCTATTGCATTATTTGATTTTTTTTATTAGTTCACCAATTCGAAAAAGGAATCAAATGGTCCGTGAAACTGTTCTGCCCGTGAAATTAGAGTTTCTGATGAGTTGATCATCTAATTGATTGCCTAATTGAGCTGATAACACAAATCTGACCTGAATTTCTCTAAACTAATTATTTTTATATAAATGATATGAAAAAATGAATGTAAAGAAAGGACTGACGTAAAAAACATCGTTTGGTTGTCGTCTGCCCCGATTAATTAAAACATGCAATTTTTGGGGCTATTGCAAGAGCAAAGGCGAAATAAAAAATCGTTTGAAGAATAACTACAACTATTCATCTGGATTTTATGTTTAAATGAATAATTCTAAAATAAATTCATTACGCTAATTTCAAAAGTAACAATAAATTCCCAATCAGGTTTTACCTTCCTTATAAATCCCGACAGCTGACAATCGCGTTTAGTTTATCATATTAAAATAAGTATCTGAAAGAAAATATACCATCAGTTATATACGTTAATTATCACTTATGGACTTGAGGTTTTGGCAGCCTATATAAAGCACAGCTGTCGTAGCCCGAGCACAGCTCATCCGTGCCTCGGCCGTCTATATAAGGCACGGCTGCCGTGACCCGAGCACAGCTCATCCAGGCCCCGGCCGTGCCTATATAAGACGCGGCTGTCCTGACCCGAGCACAGCTCATCCAGGCCCCGGCCGCCTTTATAAGACGCGGCTGTCGTGACACGAGCACAGTTCATTCGAACGTCAGGCAAGCAGCACGGAGCACCTCTCTGCGATCTGGGAACTGCCCGCTCGACGATAACTTAGGTGAATGGTGATAGCACAAGCGGTTCAGAAAATAATTATTGAAGGCTGTTGCCTCGATAGAATTTATTTAATTTGACCGACCTCTAATGGCACGTGAGTTGTACTCTACCGCTGCAGCACTTGTCTGGCCGCACTTTTTATATAACATTTTGATGATAAGCTATACATATTTTGTTCTTTATACGCGTGCGATTAACGACCAGAGAATAAATTGATTTAAATTATCAAAAAGTCGGACAATTCTTCAGATGAGATTATTCTTTCTTTTCTTCAGATTAATGCTCTTTGTAACTTGAAAATGAATGTTCGTTACATTCGAAACGTCGTTATTAAACTAAAGCTACTTCTCGATATATGCCTTTCGATCTACCAACGTCATCTGAAGAATTGTCCGACTTTTTGATAATTTAAATCAATTTATTCTCTGGTCGTTAATCGCACGCGTATAAATCAACAAATTCTGCCATCTCAAACTAATATTTTGTTCTGTATATACAAAGGTGTTTAAAGCTTATCAAATAGTTTCTTGGCCAAAAATGGACATTTACGATTGGGTGCTCACCTTAATTTGAATGGTTTCAATTAATTTAAGTTTGCGCTCAATGATTTTGTGATCGAATCCCTCAAGCTCAGGCTTTTATCCAGAAATGTGAGGAATGTATATATGTATTTTAGCCACGCAGGCTTATATTGCATTTTTTCGTCTTTCAACCACGGATTCGGACGAACTCAATTTCCGTCATGTTTCAATTAATTTCTTTCCAAGCTAATGCACTATGTTTTTCACATGAAGTGAAAAAAGCTCCGAAGCTTTGCATAAGGTCATAAAATTTCAATTATTAACTGCAATTTCACTCATATCAAATGATTCATGCAATATCTGATAATGTATTTAAAATATAACCAGGTACGGAATAATATTTGATTGTGAATAATTATATATCAAATAATAATTTAAGCCAATTACTGTGCAGGAACGCAAGACATACAGAAGCGAGAGATGGCGCTGGGACTTGTGTTGGTAAGAAGTGTGATATAAAAAACATAAAAAATTTCTAGACATATTCCCTGAAATTGAATTTCTAATTCTGTTGTACTTATTTAGTTATAGATGCATCACTAATTTGTGCCCTTATCACCCATTAATTAATTTTTATTATTACTGTTATTTACTGTTGATTACTTAATTATTCTTACTGTTTTCCAGGCAGTGCTGATGGTCACGGAGGCGGTCAGGTAAGGCTGCGTAGCATATATTAACGTGTCTGTAATCAAGTTCAATCTTAATTTCATTTAACATTATTCAGAGCGCCCAATGTCACATATATTTTATATCACATTTTATGAAATCCTAGGTATCAGTTTTCAAGTGGGCATTCATTCTCTTAAAAACAAACCATCTTTTTTATGTAAAAATTTAGTCATCAATTCTAAGGAAATAATCTCAACTCACTTGCACCTATACATGCTTTCCACCTTATTCATCAATTTCAATAAGATGATTTAACTGCTAAATTATTGTCAATATAATCTACCTTTTTTGTTCATTAATCGCATTCATCCATTGCGATAATAGAATTGTAATGCTAATTTTTCTATTCATCTATTTCAGTAAGATGATTTAAATGTTAAATTATCGATTTACTCCACCTTTGTTGTTCATCCATCGCATTCGTTCATTGCTTAATAGAATTGCAATGCTAATTTTTCAATTCATCTATTTCAAGAAGATGATTTTAATGTTAAATTAACAATTTACTCTTACCTCTGTTGTTCATCCATCGCATTCATCCATAAGACAATAATTGTAATGCTAATTTTTCGATCGATTCAACACCTTCTCTCGCGCAGTGTTCTGCCACCGATCGATCCTTCACTCTGCGCGTCAGCCGCTGACGGTGTAGTGCACTGCGCCAGTTGCCTGCAGCAGTACCTATGTCAGGGCAAGCAACCTGTCCCGCTGCCGCAGTGCTTCACCGGAACTGTGAGTTAATGTTAGCCATTTAATAATTGTAAAGTGCGCATTATTTGAGATCTATCTTGATAGATCCATCTTGACTTTGAGATCAATCTTGATAGCTCATTTTAGTGTCCATGGAAAAGAATGTTTGAGCTATATCATACAATCTTCGTCACTAATTTTTTATATACAAATGATGTTTCATGAATTAATATAAATTTTTAACTATATTTCTCCTTCATTCTATTGTACAAATGAAAATATAGGAATATAAAATGATATAACGCATTCCTCCATTTGCAGGTGTGCGAAGAGGTCAAAACAAATGCTGCTCAATGTGTGCCGATAGCGTCGGCCACTGCATGCAAATGCACTAGCGACATCTGCGATGAATACAACTCGAATTTCTCGGCCACGTGTAACGCAGGTGGCGTTACCAACATTCAAGACTGCACAGTTGCCAACCCGGGTTCCGGAGACTGCTTTAGGGGTGACTGTATTGACTGCACAAATCTCGGTTTACTTAAACCCGTATATGAAGTTCTACCTCCGGCGTGTACAGTCGCTTACCAATGCGACAGAGGGTTGGTTTCGACTTCCAATCCAGTGGAATGTCCGACGGGACAGTACGTGGCAAAAGATGGTACCTGCGTCTCGAAGCCTCCCGTACCTTGCGACCCTGCAAACTTGTGTACTGGTAGGTGTCCGGACCTGACGAACTGTGCGCAGTACTACTTCTGCGATCCTAATGGAGGTGAACCAGGAGGCGCTTATTCGTGTGGCCTGAACTCCTACTTCGATCCCGTGACTCGGTTATGTGAGACTGGAAGTTCTAGTGTGTGCGATCCATGGACCAAATGTGACTTGAGTGCACCAGCAACAACACCAATAGCAACAGCACCAATAACAACATCACCACCAGCAGACAATTTTCAGGTGTAACAGCACTACTCCAGTAGTTGACGGTTGACCCCGAATATTTGAAGTTGATACATTGTATGAATTAGTCTCAATTGTTTCACGAGAACTTGTAATAAAGAGATTTAATCATTCTCATTGATTAATTACGAAATAAAAAAGTTGCGTGTTTTTGCCAAAAATAAATTGCGTTCCCAAAGCATGAAACTTTCTGATCAAATATCCGCATATCTATGATGTCTGGTGGGAGATCCGGTCTTGCTTTTTCTTTCGTGTCGAAAAACTATTTTTTTCACACGTTTTAGAAGGATATAGAAAACCAGTTTTGGAGTGTTAAGTTAGAGATGTACTTTAATGAAAATATTTTAGCCTTGCAAAATTTTCCACAGAGTGTCCAAAATCTCACTGAAATTCTTTGGACAACAAAGCATCTGCATCGTAAATTACCAAACTCTTGCAATTATTAATCCTACATTTCGCCACGAAAATATGGATACAAGATTTTTTCTAGACTAATTCAGACCGTATTACTGATGAATGAACAATAGCGTGGAACATTAAGCTATAACTTACCGAAATATTTCGCTCCCAAGGCACGTCTGGACAATAATTAAAAACAGATAAACTTCGGAGCAAAGAAAACTTGTTACTGAATCAAAGAACCAAAAATTTTACTGGAAGAGTTCGTACAAAATTTTAGATTGCACGGAACATTTCGCAATTTTTTCATTGCTTATTTGGTCAGTAGGCATTCTATAAAATTGCTGAATCGGATGCAACATGATTTCATTATGTTCGTGAAAATCCAATGATCACATGAAATTACAATAAGAATCATTCATCATTGTTCTGCTCATTGTAGATTTCAGAAGAACTGTATATAGATAATTTGAGCCCATTTGCTCATTTTTCGCATTCCAAAACCCGTACAAAAATTCAAATGTTCCATTGCTGAATAATCGGCAGCGAAAGTGGGCCACAAACGATAGTGCATCGATGGCGTGTCCACCAATGGCACCTCCTCGTCCAAAAAGTGCCTGCAACGACGATTTAACATTGTTATTGGTGGCTTATCGATAGCGTATCGGTGGCAACCTCTATGGGCTATTGAAAATGCTTCAAGCAGAACAATGAACATAGATGATTAGGTTTATGCCTACCACCAACACTAAAATTGTAAATCAAATATTTATTCTAAAATTCAGAGAATAGAGCGAATACCGCATAAATGCGTCATATATAAACTGGTTAAACCATTTTCATCCCGGTTAAGACCTACAAAAACCAAATTTATGTGCAAAGTGGCATATTTATTGTTATAAATACTAACCAATGCGGCATGAACGGAAAAGCAAGTTCGCAATCGTAACTTGTTAATTGTTAAATGACGTGGTGATAATTAATTGAGAAGACAAATCTAAGAAGAAACATTCTACTTCTACCAACTGATAATTTGTTGGAAAGAAGGAAAGAAAATACATTATATTTGGATAAACAATTTGATAAATAAGAATGTAGCCTCATTTCTCATCACAACTCGAAACATGGGGTAGCGTAGAGGTCAATATCTAATGCACGAAGATGCGCATTCGTGTTCGAAAACTTGTCATCTGTATTAAAAAACATACAGTGTTAGGACTTGTCACATAACATCACAACATAAAATTGAGCTATCGAATATTCATGAAGAAATCTAAAAGAAGAAACGAAAACACCATTGTCATATATGTCGGGTAGTCTAAAACTACATATCAACTTAGGTTAATCTCTGAAATATGGAATTGATCGAAATTCTAACAAATATCAGTCATGGAGACGTCAATATAACTCCTGATGAAAAATTCGCGGTTCACTTTGTAGATAATATTCCTGGTACGAGTTGTAGATAATATTAATAGCACGATTTATACAGTTATTTCCATATAACCTAAATAGGTAAACACAGGCCCGACATAATATAAATGAAGGCAAAATTAAAAGATCCCACACAATTTTACCTATGATTGTAAAATTGTGAACAAGTTATGATGCACTTACAAATTTGTAATGTTGCACTCTAATAACAACTTTATGCTTCTTAGTACAGCAAAAGAGAGTCATAGATTAGAATCACAGTGAGCGTCATGTTACTTTTGAAAAATATAACTCAGTACTCACTGCAGTGAGTGACAGAGAGCGCATTTTCTCGTCGACGAAAACGTGAAGTCACGGACGGACAGACAGACGGACGGACGGACGGACAGATGGACATGGCGAGCACAATAGTGCATTTTTTCCATAAATGAGAAAATGCGCTAAAAACAATGTGTTGAGCTTTTGTAGGAAGTGGGTCATTTTTAGCGAATTTTTTCATTTATGGAAAAAATGCACTATTGTGCTCGCCATTTCCGTCTGTCTGTCCGTTTTTCCGTCCGTCTGTCCGTCCGTCCGTGACCACAAGTTTTCGTCGACGAGAAAATGCGCTCTCTGTCACTCACTGCAGTGAGTACTGAGTTATATTTTTTAAGTAGGTCACTTACAAGGTCGTGCCATGCGATAACGCGGGACGTAATTAGACCTGGAAATAAGAAGCAAATAAAATTTCAACGAAATTCAACATTTTCCAATGAAAATGTGGTAAATTTGCTTTAGGCATTTTCTTTGCATTTACATTCTAGATTAACTTGCGATTAAATGGAAATTATCTAAAATATTTGCGTACTGATTTATTACACATTTATTACACATTAAAGCTCGAATCTTAAAGCATTCGTAATCTGTGGCGAACAGACGAAACCTAACGAGATTCTATTCAATGGAAACAGAAAAGTTGTTTTGGAGGCAGTTTAATCAATGATAATGTGCCATTCAAAATGTGGCAGTAAATAATTCACTATGAACAGTTGCCAGATGCTGGAAAGATCACACTCATCGCTGCATTCTTCGCTGCATCCCAAAAATGGAAGGGATAAATTGTCCACAAATAGTTACCCCACACAGCCGCTCCCCACACGCGGGTGTTGACCTCTCGCAACCAGCACTCTGCCCTGCCGTCTCCCACGCCAATGCACTCTATTCTCTTGAAAGAATCATCTTTTAGTCCGAAAAATGGGTATAACAGTGCCCTGTCTCTATTTATCGGTAAGAAAATGCAAGACACTTTGAATATAACGACCTCTTCATTTTTCTGAGTGTACTTGTGCGCTTTGTACTTGTGAAATTTGCCGCCAATTCAAAATGCATTGCTCATTCAGGCCCCAGCCGCCTATATAAGGCGCGTCCGCCGTAACCCGAGCTCAGCTCATCTGGGCACCGGCCCCTATATAAGGCACGGTTTCCGGGACCCGAGCACAGCTCATCCAGACGTCGGGCGGGCAGCACGAAGCACCTCCCTTCGATTTGAAAACTGCACGCGCGTCAGGAACACCGGTGTGAAGTAAAATTTTCAAAATAAGATCTTAAAATGAGTTAAACGGTCCTATTTTAGATGAACTGATAACCAAACCCGTGAATCACTTCTGTTATATGTGGTAGCCCTAAGTACATAAATTAATTACACGTATGTTTCAATACGCTAAGTTGCATTCAATTTCCTGACAGTGATATATTAATTATACGATTATTAACGAAAACTACTTCGCAGGTTTTCAAAAACTTTTTGGAGCGCGAGAACGACTTCAAGATGACAAGGAAAATTGCGATGGTGAGAATAATTGATCCGATTCTCCGCAAATTTGTCCCCGATTTACATAGATGACCTATTAAAAAAGTGTTTTTTCACACAATTGAAATCGCACGACATATTCTCATTATGTGATAAAATCATACGAGCATTACACCCATTTTTACACGAATCGCATTTCGTCGCCAAAATTAAAATCAAAGTCTGTTTTTTTTCACCCATAAACGAAAAAATTGAAAATAATCACAAGCATAATATGCGATATTTTTACATTTTCCAGTGGTGGCTGGTGGTCGCGGTGGCGGTCAGGTAAGAGCTATAATAAAATTAGTTAAGGAGCCGTCTACTCAGAAATGCGTTCCTTCTTTACAAAGTATTCCGTATGCATTTATATATTCGTGCTTAGTTAATCTCACCAAAAATTAATAAATTACATCTTGTGAAATGAGAATTCAGGGTAGCGTTATATTGAATAATCATAAGCAAAAGTTCCGACAGCTTATTATTATCTTATGAATGTATTACTAAACCATTGTAATCTCCCATAACTTGCCAAAAGGGTACCAAGCTCCACGCCTACACCAGCAACCTCCACCAATACAACCACAACTGAATCAACAACCTCCACCGATACAACCACAACTGAATCAGCAACCTCCACCGATACAACCACTCAACAACCTTCACCACAACAACCACGCCTACACCAACAACCTTCACCACAACAACCACGCCTACACCAACAACCTTCACCACAACAACCACGCCTACACCAACGACCACCACTACAACCACACCTACACCAACGACCGCCTCCTCTACAACCACTGCCCCGACTTTCACGCCTCCGCCGGCCTGTAACTTCAATACCGTCGGGAATTTTCCACACGGGCCCTGTAGCGCCATGTGAGTAACATTGAACGAATGCATGTTTGACATGAGTAAAGGTGGATTACTATAGGCGCGCTATCTGTGTTCATGTCATTTTATGCTCGAATAAATATATTTTTAAGTAGAAATCCAATTTTTATTCACGTCTAGATACAGATAATAATTAGTGTTCGTGGGGTAAAGATCCATCATGATCCGATGAATCTTTTAGGTCCAGCATAAAATTTAACAGATATTCTGGATCAGTAGAAAATAAGCAAGTTAACTTTAATCCATTGTTGATAATATCTAATTTTCTATTTGCTATTTTTTGATCGCAAAGAATGCACACGAATTTTTTTATAACCCACAGTTATAAAATTTTGGAAAGCCTGGTTCACAGAATTTACTTGAATTTAATAATGACACACAAGTATCCAGGAACAAATTTCGTTTGTTTGAAAATCTGCACAGCTTGAATATTTTAAGCTTTAGCCGAAAATCGGTTAAGTAACAACATGAGATGAAAGTTCACCTTGTTCACCCACAGGTACTTCAAATGTCGCCATAAGAGTGGCAACAGCTTCGTGGTGCTAGAGATGCAGTGCCCAAGAGGTTACGTGTTCAGCACCAACTACACTTACCCTTACTGTGTTAGACCGAGCGCTGAGAAGACCTGCGGCACCGCGTGAAAGTGGTTCACGACAGAGCGCTTTAAAAACGGTGAAAAAACGTCGAAAAATTGTGAAAAAAACGGTTTGGCCGGCATTGAGTGGCTAGTCGTTCAACGTGGAACTGCACAATGTTCCCATAAACTTGGCATGTCGACGTATGAATCCTGAATCATGCATGTAAATAACCGCGACCTAGTAGAATTTTACGTAAAAACGCCGAAAAATTTATATTTTTTATATATTGATATATCAAACAGAGATACATTAAGTTACTTGAATAAAGTTTCCTCTCGAGGAATGAAGCAAAGAAGATCAAGATATCTTTGTATTATTGTTTTTTGTGAGTCTGAAATCAAAGTGGATGAGGAACTTCGACTTAAGCTTTGAATACTGATGATAAATTTAACATGAATAAAGTCTTCATGATCGAAATAAACACGGAATTATTCTTGTGTATTGAAAATAAGGTTAAAAAGTTAATAAACAAAGTCTTAGAGAATTTAATGAATGGAAGTCTTATTGGATAAGACAAAATACAACTTCAGAGATGAATAATTCTGATTGAAAATATCATTCAATTGACACTCAAATGAATCAAGTTTAGCTGGTCATCAAGATCTAGAATAAGAATAAACTCGATGGATAGTTTGACGATATGGCTATATCAGATCTCAATCTATGCATATAAGTTGAAGAGGATCTTGAGCAAACAATTTCGTTGTTTCCTTAGTTCGTTAATGATCCCATGATTTTATCAAACTGTAAAAGTACAATTGGCGTGTACGTGGTTTGTAATTAAGGATCCTATATTAGTGTATTATCATCAGTGTATTCGTTAGTGTTTTTCTGTTAATGTATATTTACAAATATTAGCATATATTGAACATGTGTGATAAGAATTTGTAAGACTCCAAGCCATTCAATCTAGAATTTTCGGGCAATTGTCAAATGAGTGATGAATCAAAGAGTAGCTTGCAAGTTCAGAAATCTATTCAATAATATAATATAGTATATTTTGTAATGTGTCAAATAAAATCAAATGACAGTGATAATGGTTATTACAATTAACATTCGTTGACTGCTAAACACAGAAAAGTGAATCAGAAATCGTACGTATTAATATAAGTTATTTCTAAAACATAAATGATATTCCGAAAATCAATGGTGCGTTTCATCATATATATATTCGCGGCTCACAAGCTAAGAAGCATTCGTTGAATTGCATCGAAGGGACATGAAGGTCTAAAACAGTTATTTCAATCGCGATATCGTTCCCGCATTCAGTTTGCGATATCGTCCACCCGTATTTTTCGTGTGGACAATCATTCATATCAAAAGTTCTCTTCAATCGGAAATTAACAACGAATTTAAATGCAAATAAAACGACAAGTGAAGATCTGGTGAATTTATTGCTAAAGCGTTGGATTGGAAAATAATTGTGATGCGTTTCTGTTGTTCCAGAACATTTTATGCCAGAGAGATACTTGCTAAAGCATTAATTACAACTTCATGACAACACGCTTACACAATAATTTTGCACTGAGAGAAGGACTACGTCACTGATATGGGACTGCGTCATTATTTGACTATCGACACCTCGGTTACGACAGAATCGTAACTTATGACAGAATCGTAAGCAAGGTAGTTGATGAAAACGTGGGTTTTTTAAGCCTTCAGTGGTAGATATGTATTCAGCACCTGCGAAATTCGACCGTAACGAAACCGAACGAAAAGGCTACTAACCTTGTCAGTTTTTTTGCACGCGACCAATGCAGGGTTAATAATTTTATTGATTTTTCGTTGAAGACTCAGCCTTATTTTGGGATTTAAACTTTAATTATCGAAATTGGGATTTTTTTTGTGAGCCGACTTTCTACTGCCATGGGAGGTCAATACCGCGTCAAGGCAAGGAACTGATCAATATTTTATATGAAGGATAACTTCATGAGACAGGCAGCCGTTTGTCCGTAAATATTATATTTTATTACAGCGTCCACTCTGACACAGAAGTTAATTTGATTTAGAGTTCATTTTGATCCAAATATTGTGTTACTCGTATTAAGTCTATACTTTCTCTTTGCATAGTCCATGCACAGTGTACATGATCGATGGGCATTACCAACAGCTATGCTTAACGTTTGGTAGTGCAAATAATAGCATCACCTCTGGACCAATCGTGACCATCATGGCTATTGTGAATACCAACTTACTTGCCAATACACAATGTAAATTGTAAAGTAAGCTCAACATGGCTAGTCAAACGATATGGCTATCTAAGACCTCGACTTATACATAACACTTTAAGATGATCCTAATTAAATTTATTGTAATGACATTACAAATGAGACTTGACCGCTTAGCCTTCGATGGACCGCCACTCAACCGGGCAGTCCTTGGCTCTGGTAAATTAGGATCCACTACCGAGTCCTGACCTGAGTGAGGCGCTTACGACGACCGTTTACACACTTCTTTATCTGAACTTACACGAGAAGATTGGTTTAGTCATACACAAAGATTAGTTATACTAGTCATAAAATTTACTATTCAGTTATATTTTTATTCAATGGACCATGGTTAACTAACTACTTATACTAAGTTTCATCTCTTGGGTAATTTTTCTTTACAATAAAAAATTGGGCTCCCTAGCATTTGTAATCCTTGGATCTGGTCAGTTATTTATCATATTCGTTCTAACGTTAGCTGAACCTTGGGTTTTTGTTGGTACCTACATGTCTGCCCTGAAAATACGATTTTATACAGTCGCACTCAAGTATTCGTATTTCATGCGAATTTACATTCTTAACAAGAGTTTACAATAAGAAAAAGGGATAAAATGCATAAAAACGTCTCCTTTCTGCAAAATTGTACCTAGTTTAGGCAACGTATTTTATTTTCTTGCTTTGACCGTTTGCTTTATCCTTGTATGGGTCATCCTGACCCACTATGTCCCCTCGAAAAAAGTGTATCAATGCTACGAGCAAAAGGTGTGTTATATTTATAATATAGAAAGTTTATTTATTCAAGTGTCATGGTTTTATCCTAACCCATAAATTAAAGGGCTAGGCTGATGCCCTAGTTTTTTTTAGAATTGTGATTCGTTCATAAGTTTGAAAATATTATATTTCTAAGATATCAGATAATACACTAAAGAACAGCATTTGACTTAAATTTGGAAAACTGTGTCTTGCAATTGAAAATTTTACGGAGTTCTTGCTGAACATTTTATTGAGTTTCCATGCAAGTTAAATCTCACGAATTCATAGTTTAAAATTAAGTATTTCGTTGCTCAGGAGCAGGATTTTATCCTATTTATGACTGAGTTTTAATTGCCTAACTCATAGTATCATTTTCAATGAACCATCCCGACTTTTATGGCGAAGGATTCAATATGTAACATATAGCCAGGAAGTGTTTAAATTATAATACTCGTTAACTTGATTGTAACATTCATAAAAGTGGTTAATTGTTAAATTTTATTGAGTAGAGATACATGAAAACTAAAAAAAATGAAATTGAAACTAAAACTAAAGCAGGTGTGGTGGTAGCAGTGCTCTAGCAGGTCTCCTCCTCGGCGGGTATCAAGCAGTAGGGGTGGTTGGGATGGGGTAGCAGTGTTCTAGCAGGTCTCCTCCTCGGCGGGTATCAAGCAGTAGGGGTGGCTGGGATGGGGTAGCAGTGTTCTAGCAGGTCTCCTCCTCGGCGGGTATCAAGCAGTAGGGGTGGCTGGGATGGGGTAGCAGTGTTCTAGCAGGTCTCCTCCTCGGCCGGTATCAAGCATTAGGGGTAGCTGGGATGGGGTAGCAGTGTTCTAGCAGGTCTCCTCCTCGGCGGGTATTAAGCAGTAGGGGTAGCTGGGGTCAGTACTGAACACCAGGCCCTCGGGACACTCCAGCTCCAGGATCACGTAAGTTTCCTCAGTCACCAGACGACAGGCCCAGTAGCTGTGGCAAGCGGTGGATTTTTTGGTATTATTATCGTTAATATAATATAATCATATTATATTATATTATAATATCATAAAATAGTTTGGTTAATGTATCAATAACCAAACTATTAACAGAGGAAGAATCACATAGAAAAATTATTTGGTGATATTGTCCAAATAGAGACAAATTTTCTTACCAACAGCGCCAGCAGAGCTCAAATAGAGCACTGATACGACCTTTTCCGGGATAAACTTGGTCAGGATGACCCACACCAGGGCAAAAAAAGCATCACTTGTATAACAAAATCTCCCATATTTTATAAGTAAAGAGTTAATCAGAGTTTACCATGAATATTGGACTCGATTACAACTAATTCATTTTATATACAGGTTTATTCTAAATGGTGGACCCAATTTAATAAACTCACATTCATTCAAGTATAAATAAAAAATTAATATTTTATACACCAATGGAAAATAGATTCAATATTTTTTACATATATATATAACATTTCAATATGTTCAATATTTGACATCTTGATGTCCGAAACTTTTTGAAGTTGGAATTGGACGCATAGGAAATGAAGATCTGGATCTACACCTATGGCCACCGAGATCACCTGATCTCACTCCTTGTGACTATTTCTTATGGGGTTACGTCAATTTACTTAATTCATTAAATTGAATCCTTCATTAATCCTGTATTATCCATTGACAATATGGATGATAACTTTAGAATTCATGTTTCAGAATCAGTGTTTTCAACCTGGCAAACTAAATAGAAACTTCACTAAAACACCGCACAGTTCAACCATTAATTTTAAGGTATTCTTGGGTTACGGATAAACTGAGGAAACAGTAATTATTTACAAAGCTTTTTCATCAAGAACATAAATCAAAATATTCTATGCCTTTTACATGCCGAAGATATCAGACAAAATTGCATTCAACAAGAAATTTTGGTCACGTGAAATGGAAACCTTACATTCCGTTGGCAATCGAACTTCCTACTATAACTCACTACATTACTACACCACTCATTACAAGCTACATTACCACACCACTCATAACAAGCTACATTACCACACCACTCATTAACTTCTACATTACTTCACTACTCACTACATTACTACACCACTCATTACAAGCTACATTACCACACCACTCACTACATTTTACATGACTACACTGCATTCCGCATTATTAGTACTACAACACAAACAATGATCTACATTACTCACTTAGGGTCGCACGGTCCAATAGGATAGTTGCCAACGTAACTCGCGTCACAATGCGGAGGGATGGTATAATCTGGCGGAGTCGTTGTTGATGAGATGGTCGTGGTTGATGTGGATGTCGGTGTTGATGACGTGGTCGTTGTTGTTGTGGGTGTCGGTGTTGATGACGTGGTCGTTGTTGATGAAGTGGTCGTTGTTGTTGAGGGGGTCGTTGTTGATGAAGTGGTCGTTGTTGTTGAGGGGGTCGTTGTTGATGAAGTTGTGGTTGTTGATGAGGTGGTCGTTGTTGATGAGGTGGTCGTTGTTGATGAGGTGGTTGTTGTTGACGTTGAAATAGGGGGTGGGAAATCGCACCGAGTCCATGCATCGCACACACGGGCGTCTCCCTCTTCACACGATAGAGTTTCCGCGTTGAAAAAGAAGTTTGGCTCACACAAATATGGCCCGTATGGACTTGAGTTATTTGGATCGCAGAAATAGTACCGTGTGCAGTTCATGAGGTCAGGACAGAGACCCGAGTTGCATAAATCAGCAGGATCGCACGGTAATGGAGGCGCTGGCCTGCAGATACCGATTTTTGACACGTACTGTCCTTCGGGGCAGAAAATAGGATCAGAACTGGAAACTGATCCTTCGAGACATTGGTATCCAACGGTACATTCAGGTGGGACTACAACAACTTCTGCATCAGTTAAGCCGAAATTGGCGCAGTCGACGCAGTGACCGCTGACACAGCCACCGGACCCTGGACTATTTTCAAGACATTCGAACACGTCCGTGACGATGTCAGCTTCACACTTGTCCGTGTAGAGGGGGTTGTAGTCGTCGCAGGTGTCGCTGGTGCAGTTGCACGCAGTGGTCGACTCTTTAGGTACACATAGTGCTGTCGTTGGGGAGTCCTCGAGACACACCTGCAAATGAGATAAAATTATAGCATAATGGGAACAATGGGAACAAATAATAAACTAACTATTATGTGAGCAACGGGAACAACTAAATGACTAAATATTAAGGGAACAATGGGAACAACTATAATTATTATGGGAACAAAGAGAACAACTAAATAACTAACTATTATGGGAACAATGGCAGGAACTAAAATTATTATGGGAAGAAAGGGAATAACTAAATAACTAACTATTATGGGAACAATGGGAACAACTAAAATTATTATGGAAACAATGGAAACAACTAGAATTATAGCCTTTGAAAAGGCCGTAATCTGTGAATCTCATTGCTTAATTGAGTGAATTTCAAAATTGTTTAAACGAACAACTGTTCTCAATATATTTTTAACTGATATAAAGTTTTTTATATTATATGAAAACTTACTGGTAGGCATTGAGCCCTAACGACAGTTATAAAGCTACATTTCTTCATAGTCAAAATGATCTGATTTTTCTCATCCCTGCACATCCATCATTAATAGCATATAATTTTTAAATAATATAAAGTTATTTATAGATAATAATTTGCTTACAAATAATACATCAATTTATTTATTATATAACTAGCATCATTGTACTAATTATCACGTTTTAACCCTCTACCGCCGTGTGTCACTCTTCGGGAACATAACTTTAAAGTTAAATTATACGTAAACTATTGAGTTTGGCAACCTGAGGACGTTTGTACGCAACAGAGAACTTTTTAATGTTGTACGTGGCGGCAACCATCAGTGCAGGTCATCTTGCGCTCACTAGAACGTATCCTTTTTGGGGAGTAGGCGCGTGACAATATTGCTCCGGTTACACGTGTCAGGCGGTAGAGGGTTAATTAATATGACACGTTTTAAAAATGGCTTCAGCACGGAACTATTAACGTTATTATTATTATTAGTTAACACATTTAACTCACGGTGCCCGGGGAACACTTCGGGAACAGTACAATAGCCCCGGCGTCGTCGCATGTGTAGAGCTGCAGGCAGCTGCCACAGTGCATGTCCATCGCATCGTCTACGGAGCACAGGTTTGGGTCTAGCGTAGGAATACCTCTGCACAACAAACATAAATATGACTTGTAATTAATGCATGTTATTACTGGAACAATTATCCTAACAGGGATATCATGAGGGTGCAAGATTAATTAAAAGTCTGTGTTGTTATAGGGGATGAGGATTATAAATAACCCTGACCACACTCTAAATGACCCTGAATGTGAAATGAATTAAATGGTTATAACTCGATGCTAGTTCAGAGTATTGTGAAAAATTAGGTGAAGTGAGAAGCTCTGACGATGACGGCCTACATCACAGTGTGATGAAGGATGCATGCATCACAGCGTGATGAAGGATGCATACATCACAGTGTGATGAAGGATGCATGCATCACAGTGTGATGAAGGATGTATGCATCACAGTGTGATGAAGGATGCATACATCACAGTGTGATGAAGGATGTATGCATCACAGTGTGATGAAGGATGCATGCATCACAGTGTGATGAAGGATGCATGCATCACAGTGAGATGAAGGATGCATGCATCACAGTTATGGCTGTATGAAGGTTATTCACCACACTCACCTCACCACCACCCCGACCACCATCATGACCTGCAAGACAGGAACGATTACTAATCATTACCTCCTCCCCCTCTTTGATTATTACCAAAGTGATTAATTAATGATTACCTGCTTCTTCATATTATGAATATAACAGTCTCTGAATTTTTAAGTTGATATTTGCGTTGAAATTATCGTGTCCCACCACGCATTTTGAAAACCAACATGTAAACAAATGATATTTTTAAATAACAAATAATATATATCAAAATCCGATGAATTATGTTGAAACTTCCAACAGTGTATAAATAAACTAATTAATTACTGATTTTTTTAGACAATTGCAAAGTAAATGTCATATTTTTACTAGTTTTAGCTGCCAGTGACGACACACATGATCCTGTCTATGCTCTGCCATTCATCACTTCACTGCCATCGCTAATCAAAAATACATAAAACAAAGGCGAAAAATCAATTAAATTTAACTGCTATTCCCCCCGCTCAATTCTTAGAAGAAATCAATCAAGTCTTCAATGAAACCAATCAGGTCTTCAAAGAAATCCATTAATTATTCAAAGAAATCAATCAAGTCATCAACTAAATCAATGAAATCTTCAATGAAATCAATGAAATCTTCAATGAAATCAATTAAGTCTTCAAAGAAATCAATCTAGTCTTCAAAAAATCAATCAAATCTTCAATGAAATCAATCAAGTCTTCAATGAAATCAATCAAGTCTTCAATTAAATCCTGTATATAATGGTATACGAGGCGCGTTTTTAAAGTAAGTACCGTTTTTAAATCACGCCGACGCAGCACTGCGGTCGCCATTTAGCACATATGCGCCGTGTAATTACATTTGTTAGGAAGCCACAGACGCCATTGCGAAACCATCTATATCACAATTTCGACCTTGGCTAAAATATTTCCTGCTTCTGAAGTGTTCTGTACGAAAATGTGTTATCAGGTCGTCTAATCAGGCGGCAAGCTTCTTTGATGGCAAACTTCTGTCATACAAAAGCTGGTCCCACGATACGATATATGCCTCAATATTAATGGGAATGATGAGGAAAAGTAGAATAAAGAATGACATTCCGAGTGAATAAATTATTTATGGAAATAATGTTCTTGTTTTTATATGTCAAAATGACAATTACTTTAAAAACATGCTTCGTATTTTTATATGAGTTTTTAATTATCCGAATCAATTAAGACTAAGGTGATATTTCTTATGTTCGTAATTAATGACTAAATAAAATTAATTTAATTTATTTTAATTTTTAATTAATTAATTAATTTATGTCAACACCACACTATGAAAAATGATTGGTTCATTGTCCAAATAATGACTCGCTTTCTTAACAACAAAACCAGCAGCGAACGGCCAAACTGCGTTTGCCAACTGCTGTTTGCGTTTGCCTGCGTTTGCCTGGCAAACTGCTGTTTGCCAGGCCAAACTGCGTCAGGATGACCCACTCAAGGGCAAAAGAGCATCGCTATTTGGAAAATGACCCTGATATTTCCCTGGGTGCCTGGTTCTCACCATTGCAATCCTCCACTGCATCCTGTAGCGACTCCTACCCTCCTATCCCGCAGCTCCTGCTCAGTAATTGTTGTAGCATTAGAAAAATATCTAGCTGTTAATTAGAACACATAAAACATAATAATTAAGCCTGAATAAAATTCACACAAGCTGCGTAAATTACAGAATTAAGTGAATGTAGGAGACAAAATTGAAATGTCTTACATGTTAAAGTATTGCAGCATTGAGACCAGCACAAGTTATTGCTTAAATTTAATGTACCATTATAAATAGAAATTAAATCATGAAAAAGTGCACGAGGTTAATTGATTAAATCATGGTATTGCGAAATACGTGACTAAAATTATAAATTACGAGCTAGAAATTCGCTAACACACTAATGTTGAAACCAGCGCATTTTTATTTATTTATTTATTCACTTGTAGAAGAAAAGTGGTTACCCCGATGGCTCGAGGAAAAGCTCCACCTCGAATTAAAAAATTTATATATACGACCACACATGCATATTCATACATATACATACACACACACACACATACATTGGCACATATATGAGATAAGGATACATATTTATAATACAGAGATACTGGCTCGGACATTAGTGATACTCACCCAAGAAAATAACTTATATAATTATTGGCAGTATCACTATGCAAGGCACTGATATCGTGCGTGCAGTTGCCAGACCGCAGGGAGGTGCTGCGTGCTGCTCAGGCCACGTCTGGATGAGCTGTGCTCGGGTGCAGATGCTCCCACTTTTATTGCCTTATTTGTTGCCTCAGCGTTTCTTCGTTTGGAGGTCCTGATATTGTAAGTAATATATATATTGATTTATATATATTTTTTTTGTCATATATTTCGTTGTGATTGTTACACTGGTGAATATTATTTATGATTTTTTTAACAAATCGTATAATGGTTATAAAGAACGATTCAAAATTTATATGTGCATTCGAAAATTCGTTCAATTTTTTTCTATGCAGCTGTACATGTTTCATCATATTAGCCTATGGGATGCATACCACCTGTTGATTAGATTTTTGGATATCATCTGATTGACTAAAACATTTTACTTGTTTTTCCTATATTAGTTGAGCTCAATTTTTTCTTTTAGTTTCTACAAAAAATATTCACGGATTAAGGGAAAACCTAATGTATGAAATGGAAAGTAAAGTAATTGTAGGAAAAAAATGAAGCTGCACAGACTGAGAAAAGAGCATCTGCAGTCATCAAAGCAATACCGTTACAAATACAAACAAGATAAAGGCGCTGTCGATAACGGAATAACTAGACTTTAGGATATTAATGAAACAATATTGCAACAGAGAGATAAAGAGTGGCAACAGAGTGGCAAAGGATGGCAACAGACTGGCAAAGAATGACTAGTGGCAACAGAATGGCAAAGAGTGGCAACAGAATGACAACAGACTGGTAACAGAGTGACAAAGAGTGGCAACAGTGTGGCAAAGAATGGCAACAGTGTGGCACAGAATGGCAACAGAGTGGCAACAAAGTGGCAACAGGGTGGCAACAGAATGATAACAGAATGGCAACAAAATGGCAACAGCGTGGCAAAGAGTAACAACAGAGTGGCAAATAATTTACCGATCTTGCTAAATAATAGTTTGGTAACGACGGCACAATCTTCTGGACTCGGCTTGACTCCAACTATTGTTGTGTTGTCGCTTGACTCCAACAATTCTTCGGTAATTTTCTCTATCGGGTCCTGCTGCAAAAAAAATCGTATTTGATGCTATGAATCTTCCACTTGAAGATCCTTATTGATACCAACGTTATGGAAAATCGCATCTGCCCGAGCCATGAAATCGTACAGAATTCGAGTCATGATTTCTTATCGTATCAAAGTCACAAAATCGCATTGTACTTAAATGCGACAATTTTATCGTACTAATGTCACAAAATTACATTCTACTTCGCTCATAGAATCATTTCATACTAAATACAAACTATTGTTTCGTAATAATTTCATAAGAAACCGTTTAGCATTCAATCATTTCGCACTAATGTCACATATAGCGTAAATGCGTCACGCTTCAGTGTAGCATATACTGCAATGTTACTCATGATAAGTTTAATGTAAGCGCTAAGGAAACTACGAAATAATGTCTATGTGATAACCTATACACTATCGGCTAATCAGCATCGCAGGCGATATCAAGCATCATGCAGCTCAAGCAGGCAACAAACTCTATAAGAACAAGCAGGCGGTGAAACACAAAAGTCTGAAACAGCTAACAAATGAATAAAGAACACACCTTATTCACGGCCACGAATAAAATTTTTTAAATTTTACTTCGTATTATTCACGGTCATTATTCAGGATAACGATTAACATTATTTTTCATAAGTCATCCCGATAACGTTCGTGTATATTAGATGACATTAAAATTTGCGTATAACACTCATTTCTAGCATGTAACTCTGAAATCTAAAATTAACATTAAATATTTCGAATAGGTTACTAAAATTCCTGAAATTCCAAATAAAATTCATTCAACATAGTAAAATAATTTCAACAGAATATAATACTATTTTATTTATTAATTATTATAAATTTAGAAAGCTCCGTTGAATGACTAATTATAAAATGGATGTTTTGATTCATCCTCAATAGTAAAGATAATCAATTCAACCATCATTGGCGGTTTTATTGTAGTAATAATGACCTAAATTGTGCCGATGAAGCTTTACATTTGTGTTGCGGTGCTTCAGGTTCTAAATTAGGAGGCTCGGCCGTATCTCGCCCAGCGTGTCAACCGCAGCAGCTGGTGCGGCGATATGACCTGACTTTGATGTATTTTAGGACACATGAATAATGGCATGTGTTCGTGATAAATGAAACGGGTTCTTATTGCATGCACTATGCGCGATACATGCTTTTTTTATGTACGTAGAATGCAGAGTATTCATTTGAATATATTATATTTTAGACGACCCGAAGGATCTCTAAAACTGACAGATGGTATTTAGAGTCTAAATACTATCTAAATACTATCGTCTGTATAAAATTTTGGACATTTTACTTCGAATTATTCATGATCATTATTCAGGATAAAATTAATTCTTAGTATAATAAATGGCATAGTCTAAATTTTAGACTATCATTCAAGATCCCATACGTGAAAGAGAATAGCGTCACAAGAAGCATATCACAATAAAAGAGAAAAACAGTTATGACCTAATTTAGAACTTAGAGAACTGATCTGCATTTCATATACTTATTTTTTCTTATTTGTGTTTATCAGAATCTGTAATTTCACTTGCTGTTGATATCCTGGTATTATATAAAGCTAGCTGCTACTGATAATCGTTCTGAAACTCTCGTATATTTTCAATGCCAGCTATATTTTGTTATGGATTTGAGCTCTAAAAGATATATTTATACTCCCTTACAATATTTGAGTTGAATGCTTGATATGGCACACAATAGGCGAAAACGAATTGTTTTCAATTCAATGTTAAATAAATTATTTGGGAGGATGAAGACATTTCCCGTGGCGAGCGACAGGTAACCTCAATTCAAAACATGATTCCCTAGAGACCTGTTATCAGATTAGGAAAAAGCCTTGTATCCGAGAGCAAGAAATGCAGGTATATTTTCCCTGTCTCTGTACGACTGATGTGCCACGATAATAAAATTACGAGAATATAGTATATTTTACCTGGAATTACGTAAATCATCCCCAAACGAAGAAAATTGCTCGAGAGTGGTGACATATGTGGCGTGAGTGGTGTGACGTACGTGGCATGAGTAGTGTGACGTATGTGGCGTGAGTGGTGCGCCATATGTGGCGTGAGTGGTGCGCCATATGTGGCATAAGAGATGTGACATATGTGGCGTGAGTGGTGCGCCATATGTGGCGTAAGTGGTGCGCCATATGTGGCATGAGAGGTGTGACATACTGTATGTGGCATAAGGGGTGTGACATGTGGCGTAGTGGTGCGCCATGTGTGGCATGAGTGATGCGTCGTGTTGGAATTTTTGTTAGACCCGTAGCATGACATTCAAATGTTTGTAATATTATGTGCACAGCCCAATGACTGGAAATTAATTAATAAAATGAGTTGTACGATGTATCATGTAACACTTATTTGCCAATTCTCACTAAAATGCGACTTACTATATGGATGAATATTTGATCACTAATTTATTTGCGTAAGTCAGAAATGTCGAGAGGTTTGGAAAGTGTTCATAGATATTGAACACATTCAACTTCTAATTAGCCTGATTGTAGATTATAATAATAAAGGATAAAATTACTCAAACATTTGGTAGGCTTGATTTCGATCCAACTTATGTAAAAAAAATCAGGCAGCTCATACATTGAACCTTCATTAGCCGTTTCGATTATTCATGTTCTTATGTACAAATGTTTTCTGTACTGCAATTCAGTATATTATCTTTCCCATTGATGAGCAAAATATTTTCTCTCAACTTTTTACGAAATAATTTCTTATACTACTGTCGTGCCATTTTGCCCGGCCACCTAAATAAGGCGCGGTTGCCGTGACCCGAGCACAGCTCATCCAGGCCCCGGCCGCCTATATAAGACGCGGCTGCCGTGACCCGAGCACAGCTCATCCAGGCCCCGGCCGCCTATATAAGACGCGGCTGCCGTGACCCGAGCACAACTCACCAAGCGTAGGACGAGCAAGACGGTGCATCTCCCTGCGGTTTGAAAAAAAGTCACACAACGACGATACCGGGAGTGAAGGTGAGGAAAAGTGATCTATGATCTCTAACTGATATTGATTCTAGTCATGAAGAATTTGTGATACTTAATATTTTGTTAGGAATTACTGATTAAATGTACCCTTCTTGCCGCAGTTCTCACTTCATTTCATGCCAATGGCATTATATGCAAAAGCTTCGTTTCTATTTACAGCCGTGTTATAACTTGGATAGTTATAGCAATCAGATTATAAAATAATTCCATTCTCCAGTTCAATATTTCCAACATGACTAAAGAAAGGATAAGTTGAAATTAGCAAACAAACAATAATGAAAACAGACACAACTAACCAAGAAGAAAAAGCTTAAAGAATCCCTGGCTAACTAATTCCGATTGCTGACGTCAATATAGAATTTGAACTTGGTCTAATGTAATAGTTCGGATTCTATGTAAGAATTCGGAAATAGTTCTAATGTAAGAGTTCGGAAAGAGTTGGTCTAATGTAGGGTAAGCCAGCTGTGCGCCAGCTGAGATGGTGCCAGGTTGGAATTGATAAAGGTCATTAAATTCACGAAGGAGAATTTAAACAGGTTAAAATATGTATACGTAAGAGAGAAACAGGCGTAGCATTGAGGAGAATGTCAACAGGTGAAGAATGTACAATTTTGGAAATAACAGCTGAGAAAGTTTTCAGGTAAAAAATTGCACAATGGTGAAAGGGAGCAGGTGAGATAATACGCAAGACAGATATTAAACAGGTGAGAAAGTTCACAGCATATCTGGTGCACACTGGAGACCTTGCTCGTATGCACCAAATTGACCTTGGTTGTGCACCACAAACACGAGGTGCACAGCCAACACAGAGCTGTCTGCATTAATTGGACACTGCAAGCTTTGCACTTGGTAAGTAGCGGCACACGGGACGTTTATGTCGTGAAATGACACTGCGTTTGCTATTGAAAAAACAGTTCATGATGACAGTTTAAGCTATCCCATCAGAGAATAACCAACGTTTAGAACAGCGTACCCTACGTTTCACGAAGAATTACCAATACTAGAGTTGGTCTATCACCGGCACCATGTATAATACGAGTACCACACAAAAACACGTTCAACCATATGCGGAGTCAATTTCCTATACCAAACTTTTCTAGCTCGTCGAATGCTCACCCATAAATCCACAAAACCTGAACGAATTGCACTAAACCATCAGCTATATAAAATGTATATTAGCTATTGTAATCATTATTATTTTTAAATGAACTAAGCAAATAATTATGATTATTTTTGGAAAATATTCAAAATTCATCTTATATGAATGTCCTCCTTGACAGGAACAAACTCTGACACCGACAGTCCGGAGCGGCTTCATGATGCTGCGAGAAATTTCATTGGTAAGAGTTAATAAAGATTGTATCATAAAAAATGGAAATAACATTAGTGTTTATATCATTTCCGCCTTAGTTTTTACACAAATTTTACGAAAATTGTTCGTAAAAAGTAAGCATGTATATAATGGTTTACCTGATTAGGGCGTGGCATGATTTCTAATTTGAAATGTGTTTGTTTTAAATTCCTCTAATTTTTCTGAACAGAATGCATTTCGTACCTATACGCTACATATAGACGTATTTAAATTAAGGTTAATTCTAATGCAATTTTTGCGGGAGAGCTTCCAACATGTGCCTATGTAATGATAGTAAAGTAATTTCATACTATCAGTTTCAGGAATCATAGTTACAGTTGATAGGATGAATGATTGGGATCCGAAATTTGTCAAGGGTCTGATTGTAATTCAGGGTGAAATTTTAGGCGAAGGGGTGATTGACTTTAAAACTTTACGCATTTACTTTAACTTAAAACATTAACTAGATGACTCTCCCCATAACTAAAACCTATCAAATTTCGAAACATGTCAACCGGAAGATACAAACCTTTACGCGAGTACGTAACTTATATTCGCTAGCATATGAAAGCAGGTACACAAGAGAAAATAGCAGTATTGTACATCGAAGACATTAATACGTAATGAACTTATTACAAAAATTGGACAACATACACTACTTTGATGCTGAATATTCCAGAAGCTTGCCCACCACTGCAATAAAAATTAACAACCACTCGTTATAGCACGAAAATGGGGCTTGAAAAGTTAATAGGGATTTCAATTTGAGGTCAACCCTCATGTCGAAAGAAATTACGTTTTCTGTGTTTTTTATCTTATTTTGTATGGAGAACTGTTACAAATCGGCAGCAACAAACCGAAATCATATAGCTGCCATGGTTCTTTCGTGAGGCCGTCTTGAACATTTCTAAAATAAACATTTTATAACCACTGTTTATATAGGTTTCTTTGACTGAATCTGTATTTAAAGATTTAAATACGCGGTAATTGCAACGTGTTTACATTCGTTAGAAAGCCGCAAACAAGTCGCGTTCAACAAAGCAAATACCATGGATATGCATGCAATACATTTTGCGTAAAACCGTTTTGAATTTTATAAACTGACCATTTTATAAAAAATATATCGGAAAATTCCCATTTATAGCTCATTATTCGCGTTAAACTGGAGAAAAATAGGTCTAAAGACACGTAATAATATTCTCAATATGAGAATAATATGGTAATGGAAAAACCGAGGCTTCAGCATAAACATTTTTTTCCCATTATTTTTTATACTTAATTTTACTTATTTGGCTCCCCGGAGCTAATAAAATTTACAAATAGTTTACCTTAAAAATTTATCTCCTCTATTGATTTTCAAGCTACCACATTGAGACATATTGGAATTGTAAAAACAATATCTAGCGACTCTAGAAACCGATTTTCCTTATTTCTACATGGTTTGAATTATATGTTGGAGAAACAAAGGGGGAGAAATAGGAGAAAACTGAAAAAGTCATAGGAAAATAAAATCAGCAAGAAAGTCGAAAAAATTGTCTTATTTATAGAGTCGATAGATATTCTTTCTATAAATTGAATGACATGTCTGTCAATATTGTAGCGCGTAAATTGAAGTAGGATATTTGTAAAGGATCATTCTCTTGCTGTTTTCTATGCATTTCACGGTTTCTTTAAATTTTTTAAAAAATTAGTGTAGGAGAAAATTGTTTTTTCTTTTGGGGATTTATATGGGAATACGAAGTTTCAGAACAATAGGTCACTTAGTTTAGAAGATACTTATATTATCAGTCTGCTTATGTCGCAAGTTCACAAGGAATTTAAAAGCAAAGAAAACACCAAGCAAATTATCCGTATCGATATTGAAAACGTTTCGGAGTCCAGCTCCATCATCAGCTCGACATACTAAAAATTAATAAAATAGCTCTGATCGGTAGACCCACCTTTAAATGATCAAAATGACAAGAGAGCTAACGGGACCTTTCGTTCAGACGATCAATCATAGAGTGAATGACGATAGCAAAACATATACTACACATCAACAAAAAAATATAACTAGGTACTCACTGCAGTGAGTGACAGAGAGCGCGTTTTCTCGTCGACGAAAACGTGAATCACGGACGAACAGACAGACGGACGGACAGATGGACATGGCGAGCACAATATATGCATTTTTTCATAAGTAAGAAAATGCGCTAAAAATCTGAAACAGAGGACAAGTTTTATAAGTGTATTCAGGGTAAAAACAATCTAATTAAATAATATAACAATTGATATACCCAATCTAATTAATCAAAACTAAGTCAAGATTCGATCTTAACCAAATCAGTGAAATTACTAATACTTCCTATATTATTTGCTCTCTGATTGCTTCACTTCGTACAGAAGAAAACGCACTCTGAATATTTTTTTATTTTACATACTCTGCTGGTGTATTCAGGGTAAAAACAATCAAATTAATCAATGTAAATAAATAATATAACAATTTAATAATGATATAATCTGATTAATTAAAACTAATTCACGATTTGATCTTACCCAGATCAGTGAATTTACTAATACTTCTCATATTATTTGCTCTCTGATTGCTTCACTTCGGACAGAAGAAAACGAGCACTCTAAATATTTTTTTTATTTTGCAGATTCTGCTGGTGTTCTCGGTCGCTGTCAGGTAAAGTCTAGATTTTAACGAGTCTTCATCAGTTCGCATGTCTTCTAGGCACCGCTATTTGCTTAAAATTTGTTACATTCCATGCTCTCCAGGCCAGTTCATTGTACAATATATCTTCAGCTTCTTATCATAAATTGTGAAAAATACGTATTTTTCAATTTAAATCTGATAAATTACGAGTTATGTACTTTATAATGGTACATAATTTCGTCTACAATTAAATAATTTACTATCTACTCTTCAAAGACCAGGGATTCTTGCTGCAGTATTCGAATGTATTAGAAAATTGTATATCGTCAACTTAATGCAGATGTCTCCCTTCGTTGGATGGAACCACCCTGTGCACAATAAATCCCCCTGCTGGGTTCTATTGCGGCAGCTGTTTACAGCCGTACGCTTGTGATTCATCTGGGGTATTTCAACCCCTACCCGAATGCCCATCAGGCACAGTAAGTTGAAATATTCTATATTCATGCATGTTACTAATATCATGTTTGTATAAATACGACAGATGTTTCTGACCGATCTTAACACCTTGTATTGGAAATATCTTGTCGCTCAATACCATATACTGCTGCCTCGAATAATACCACATTCTTTTTAATTCAATATCTTATTCAAAACTTCATCTCCCATCTCCCAAATTTCTATGATACTGTTCATGTTCCTAATTATTTCTCAGGAAAATAATTTAAGCGATAATATATTGAAAAAAGTATCACCAATTTTCAGGTGTGTGAAGGTGCAGCGCAATGTGTTCCAATAGCATCGGCCTCGGTATGCAAATGCGTCAGCGACATTTGCGACACCCACAACCCCATGTACTCAGCCAAGTGCGACGCGGATGGCATCATCACCGACATAGAAGATTGTACAGGCGCTCAGCCAGACTCTGGAACCTGTGTGGGCGGGAGCTGCGTTGATTGCGATGGCTTTGCGATGAGCGGACCAGAATACTTTGTGGTTCAGCCAAACTGTTCCGCCGGATACCAATGTGACGCGTGAGTATATGTTGCTGACAGTTCAGTGGTTTGCCGTGAGGGACAATATGTCTCAAAAGTTGGCATCTGCACTGTGGCACCTCCCGAACCATGCGCCACGGTAGACTTATGCAGACCTAATGAAGTCTGCGCGGACCTCACGAACTGCAATCAATACTACTTCTGCGACGCCAATGGAGAAGCGAGCGCCCCTTTTCCGTGCGATCCAACTTATTTCTTCAACCCGGACACACTCAGATGCGAGCAGGGAAATGCCGGTGTTTGCGATCCGTGGACAAAATGTTCTTTTACTTGAGTATGGAGCGGAGTGGAGTGCTCCACTGGTCAGGTGTTAAGAACTGATCCCCGAGACCCACTTTTGTGCTTACAAACTCAGGTTCTATACTGAGCGGAGGAGCTTTGCGTCCAATATAGACTTGACGTAAAATTAAAATTAATCTTTAAATTGTGATAAACTTTGAGAACTTTTGGAATACTCAGATCAGCAAAAAATATTGTTCGTTAATAAATAAATAAATGCACTACAGTTCATTCAATATTTCATTCAGCAATCATTTTTCAAAACTGTCTCACAATACTTATGAACAAAGAATGATCCGTTTTTAGAACATTCAGCATGAATATTTGTTACGGAAGTAAAAAGAGATACCTAATTTTAAAATGACTTCTAAATGAAATCTTTGGCCTACGTTTAGCTGAAACACATTTTTTTCAGATGACAAATAAACATCACATGGTCGAAAAAGAAAAGTAAGAGGCAAAAAACACCATTTCATCATTAGATGATTTAAAAATACGTCAACATGTACATAACCTTTTATCGGTTCATTCTGAGAGTCTTCTAACAAATATCGGAAGCGAACAATTATTGTAAATTATGTAGAAGCATTCGTGGAATTTTAATAATTTTAACCCTTAATTGAATCCAACATTATTCACATAATTGATCTTTAGCTGGTCGATCAGTAATTGTAGGACAACTGATGAAAATTTTCGTGAATATTAAATGCGGATAATAAAATACGAACAACAATATAACTAACAATAAGATAACGGATAGCGTGCGAAGACTGCCTCATTAAAAAATTAAATATTTATTTCTCCACAACCCGAGTGCATTTTCGGCAAGCAGTAAAACTTCAGTGTAAATAACTTTTTACATTTAAGAAAATAAAACTAAGCAAATATATTTTTCAATCAATCACAGCATTATTTTATCTTAGCGCTCACATGCGACACTATACAAAAAAATCAAAGCATCATAATAATGGTGGGTAACATTTACTATTTTGTAAATACAGGGTGACACAAAAAAAACAGAGCTCATAAAAAGTTGAATAATTTCCACAATACTCAAGTAATCCTGTTATTTGTTTCAGATTCATTAAGAAGACGGATTGATCTAAGAGTCTACCACGTGTGAGCTTCGAGATGCCTTGGACTACAGAGCAAAAGACATTTGCAGTTGAGACATCTAGACTATCTACTCGGATATGTTTGGCGCCAGCAACCACGATTTGCCCGTGCAGCAGGATTGTGCCCCACCTGACGACCGCACTCGTACGTCACGGGAGCGGAGCTCCACACTGGAAGGACAGCGATCGGGTACGTCCACTTCAGTGGACTTAAGTGAAGTCTTGAAGCTGCAGTCTCTCCTAATGCAGTTCATTCACCCTCAAGTAAGATGTGATTTTCTGTGTGGACTTCTCAATGTTCAAGCCTCTAAGAGCCTACTTAGTGATCTCGATCGTATTAGAGCAGTGATTATTCCACCATGGAGAGGCTCTTCGGCGGTCACTTTGCGTGCTCAGCTCGACTTATCCCGTGAACATGTGATGTCTTTGGTATGTGGCACGACGGATATTTTTGATCTGCAGACGTCATCATCTACAATGTGGACATACGGTGCTTGGGCAAAATACCTGGACCAAATATCCAGTGCGGATTATTGGAAGCAAACGCCAGCATCGACTTTGTGTATTGAACGTCTTGCAGTGGACACCAGAAATATGAACCCAGCGGATGAGCCTCAACGTGACGTAGCTGTGGAATTCAAACCTCCCAGAGACCTGGTGCGTGAGCTGTCGCCTGTTAGGCCAAACGAGGGTCCCCCTCCGCGCTCATCGTCACCTCGTTTTCAGCCAGCTAGGGAGAGAAGAATGCCCAAGAATAAATATATAGAAGAAATTCAGCTGACTGATTCTTCCCAGCGAACTTCTTCTGCGGACGACTCTGAGAGCTCTACCGATGCCTATCACCGACGTCGTGGTGGTCGACGTGCTTCCTCGCGTGTTCAACGCGAGCCGGTGAAGCCGCTGCCGTTCCAACCAGACAAGGGACTATCACTTCGATCTTTCCTAACTGGATTTGAGAAGTATTTCTATGCCAAATATGAAGGGAACTCACGCGACTGCACTCAAGAACTGTCAGCGTTTTTGACGGGTGACCTTAAGGAGTTCTACGAGGCACTTGGTGGTCGTCGTTTGAAGTTTCCTGAAATGAAGGACAAACTTCTATCTTGGTATAAGACTCGTCGTGTTGGCGGCAGTAAGCACTGGCGGGACCAGTTGCAGGCGGCCCGCATGAAACCAGGAGAGAACGTGCGCCTATACGGAGCCCGACTGCAGGAACTCGGTCAGAAGGCCTTTCCTCATTCAGAGCGTGACTGCCTGAGGGAAATGCGGCAACATTTTCTTCAAACCATACCTAGTGAGATATCTCGGCGCATTCGTGACGGAGAGAGTGTCTTGCGTTTGGTGGATGGCCGTGCTAAGATGACATGGTCCGAATTGATCGATGTCGCCGACAGAACAGCCCAAGAGAACCGAGAGTTCGTCGTGCCTAGTCAGGACGCGATTCGACCATCACAGGTGTGGTTTAGTAGAGAAGACACCAACCGTGTATGGGAGCAATCGAACCGCGATGGCGCGATACGCGAGGGAGCTTCGGTCAGCTTGAAGCCTGGCCTACAGAGAGACCACCAGGAATCGTCGGCGAGAGGCCAAGATGCGCCCGTAGCATCGCGCCCGCGTAGTCGGGCATCGTCGGCCAATGCTCCTCGACGTCGTTCGCCGCTGTGCCATTGGTGTGGTCGCAGAGGCCATGAAATAGAGAAATGTTGGGAAAAGCTCGGAGCCTGCTTAATTTGTGGAGACCTGAAACACGCGATGGACGACTGCCCCAGGTATCGTGTGAGGCAAACCTTCCTAAGATGTCCCCGCTGCTCCGGGACTCACGCAGGGAACAAGTGTACCGCAGCACGACCGTTAAACTGATAAGCTCTGAAGAGAAGAGGGACTCTTCCGAGCTGCAAGGTTGCAGACCCTCGTGTATAGACGAAGAGGATGCCACCATACTGCCGGATCCTCTGCCTCAGGTCCAACAGCCCGTTTCCTCTGGTGAGCTACCGCCATCTGGAATAACTTCGTTGGATGCGGCCCCGGAACCGATGCCTGCCACTAAGGAGTGCTCTACTCATCCTGAGCAAGGTGGTGAGTGCGTTTCAGAGGAGTGTACTCATGATAAATGGTTACAGCCGAGCACCATTTGTTTTCATGCTGCATTCGAGTCCGATAAGTTGTTCAGAATTAAGTTTACGATTGAAGGTGGTGAGCCTATTTTACTGACGGCACTTATCGATACAGGCGCAAATAGAAGCCTAATCAATAGATTCTCAATCCCAACCTCGATTAATTTTAGACTGGTGAACGATTTAAAGCTGTTTGGTGTTGGCGAGACAGATGGAGTAACAGCCGAGGGTGAAGTAGATTTGAAACTCTTAATTGGTGATGTTCCATTTAATGTAGAATCGTCTGTAGTATTGCCCAGTAATGTGCAACTGCCAGTTGACATGGTGCTTGGAAGTGACTTTTTACGGACTGCTAAAGCTAAGGTTAATGTTGAACAGAAATTTATTTCCATTCCGTGTTTACAGGGTGCCGTTGACCTTTACTTTTTGCCAGATGGTAACCTCAAGTGTAAAATGTTGCGTAGTGTGCCATGTGTTGTTTCCATGTCTACTCATGTTTTGCCCGGTTCCACCTTTAAATTAGTCATTTAAATGGTGATACAATCTATGAATTATCTTCGAGTTCTTGATGGTTCATTTTCTCTAAGGATTTTTTTGGTAGCGAACAGTTTATTTATGGCACGATAACTTCGTACCTGAAACAAAATAAAGGAATTTTGCTTCTAATATTGTTCTGGAATAAAATGCGTTGTAGAGGGTAATATCATAATAAAATCGCAGAATAGATTATGTAGTAATCATGTAAGCACCAAAATTGAAATAAACTCACGGCCGTCTCAAAGAAAAGAATCATCGCGTTATATATTTAAGCAATTATCTTTCGTATATCCACAGTTTTTTCTTCACGATTTATACAGATGTTAAAATATTTAATAATTCAAACTTCGAACGCTATTTCATAGGTGGTTATTGATCAATTATTAATAGATGGCCACGCGTGGTGAAACAGCACTAAGCCATCGATGAATAGCACCCAATAAATCATCGATGATTCATCGATGAGTGCCACCTATGCTCGCGCATCCTAACGATTTATCAGCGTTTCAATTGTGATTTTTGGCTGGCGTGGCCACCCACCGTTACGCCACCTATAATCTACCATCGCCACCTATAATCATCGATGCGTCACCTTTAATTTTTATTTGGGTGGCGCGATGCTACGGGCGCATCGCGGCCTTCCGCTGACGATTCCTGGAGATCCCTCTGTAGGTCAGGCTTCAAGTTGACAGAAGCTCCCTCGCATCTCGCGCCATCGTAATTCGAATGCTCCCATGCACGGTTGGTGTCTTCTCTACTAACCAACACCTGTAATGGTCGAATCACTTCCTGGCTAGGCACGACGAACACTCGGTTCTCATGGGCTGTTCTGTCGGCGACGTCGATCAATTCGGACCATGTCATCTTAGCCCGACCAGCCTCCAAACGCAAGGCACTCCATCACGAATACGTCAAGAGATTTCTCTTGGTTTAGTTTGAAGGAAATAATGCCGAATTTCTCACGCTCTGATTGAAAGTCGGGCTCCGTATAGGCGCACGTTCTCTCCTGGTGGTTTCATGCGGGCCGCCTGCAACAGGTCACGCCAGTGCTTTCTGCCGCCAACACGTCGAGTCTTATACTACGATAGAAGTTTTTCCTTCATTTCAGGAAACTTCAAACGACGACCACCGGTTGCCTCGTAGAACACCTTAAGGTCACCCGTCAAAAACACTGACAGTTCTTGAACGCAGTCGCGTTGAGTTCCCTTCATATTTGGCGTAAAATAATTCTCAAATTCAGTGAGGAAAGAGCGAGTGATAGCCCTTTGTCTGGCTGGTACGGCAGCGGCTTCACCGGTTCGCGTTGACCGCGCGAGGAAGCACGTCGATCACTACGACATCGATGGTAGGTATCAGTACTGCTCTCAGAGACGTCTTCAGAAGAAGCTCGCTGGGAAGAATCAGTCAGCTAAATTTATTCTGTATGTATCTTCTTAGAAATTCTTTTGTCCCTAGCTGGCTGGAAGCGAGGCGACGATGAGCGCGGAGGGAGACCCTAGTTTGGCCTAACAGGCGACATCTCACGTACCATGTCACAGGGAGGTTTGAATTCCACAGGTAAGTCACGTTCTGGCACATCCGCTGGGTCCTTATGCCTATTGTCCACTGCAGGACGTTCTATACACAAAGTCGATGCTAGCGTATGCTTCTAATAATCCGCACTGGAGATTTGGTCCAGGTATTTTGCCCAAGCACCGTATGTCCACATTGCAGATGATGACGTCTGAAGATAAAAAATATCTGTCGTGCCACACACCAAAGTCATCACATGTTCACGGGATAAGTCGAGCTGAGCACGCAAAGTGACCGTCGAAAAGCCTCTCCATGGTGGAATAATCACTGCTCTGATACGATCGAGATCACTAATAGGCTCTTTGAGGCTTAAACGTTAAGAAGTCTACACAGAAAATCACTCCTAACTTGAGGATGAATGAACTGCATTAGGAGAGACTGGAACTTCAAGACCTTATTCAAGTCCACTAAAGTGGACGGACAATCCTGTCCGCTGTCATTCCTGTGTGGAACTCCGCTCCCGTGACTCAGGTGTGACTTCGTCAGGTGGTCCACTATCGTCCTGCACGGGCACATTGTGGTTACTGGCACTGAACATCTCCGGGTGGATAGTAACGATTCCCGGACAAG